CGTCGGCGGCGAAGAGGACACGGTCGACAAGCGGCAGGTGGATGACGGGGATGTAGCACGGCCACATTCACCCACCGCCTTGGACATTTTAGCGGGGAGCAGCGAAGCTGCAGGAGTGCCTTCGGCGGCAGCACCCGTAGACAACTCGCAGCCCCACTCGAGTCAGTCGCCAATGCAATCAATGGCGACCGAAATCCTTCCCTCGGATGATGACGAAGGAGGCTCCACAGAAGCAATGTCGGGATCGGGAGACACCGAGGAGGAGGAGGAGGAAATTGTTGGAGCGCCGGCGGCGGCGCTCTCTGAGCAGGTAATACCTCTGCTGAGGTACTTGGATCGCAAATTTGATAAATACGCAGATCCACTTCAGCCGGGGTCATACATCGAGTTAGTGCGCAGGCGGACTCGCACTAAAGTCCACACCAGCAAGCTACTAGCTAGGGTGGACCGGGAACTTAAGGATTTGCGTGAGAAGCATGCATGTTTGTGGGGACAGTATAATCTCGTGCGGAAGTCGCACACCCACTACGACGCATTGAAGCAGGCGAGACTGGAAGAGCTCACCAGGGATGTGGTGAAGACCACGGAAGAACTGATTTCTGAGAAGACTCAGAATCAGGTTCTGTCAGAGGAGCTCGTGCGACAGACGCGGTTGTTAGCGGAGTGTCAGCTCGCACGACAGGCGGATGAGGATTTAATCCGCAGGCTGCAGTCGGAGTGCGGGGAATTGAGAGCTCAGCGTGCGGAGGCCGAATCGCAGTTGGTGGTAATTGAAGATGATCGCAGGCGAGAGGCAGATCGCACGAAGGAGGAGATGGCGAGGCGAGTCGCCCACTGTCTCAAGGGCTACGCCACTGGGAAGTGGCGGCGCAGGAGAAACTCACACTGCGCGAGTTGGAGCTTCGTGCAGCCGGGTTGTTGTCAGGTGACAGTAGGAGTCGGTGGCGGGTGGCAAAGAAGTTAGACTCTTTTCTGTCGAAGGCGCGGGATACCATGTCCACCCTCGAGGCGGAGGTGTCCGCGGCGTTGCAGCGTTTGGGACTGCGCAGTCGAGCTGAAGACTGGCAGGGTAGGGAGTTAGTGCGCGGCAGTCCGTCGCGCAGGAGGCGAAGCACAGGTTCCGCGGAGTGTAGTGTAGCGTGGTTCCGTGCCGGCGTGTAGCGTAGTGCAGTGTAGTGCTAGTTAGGCCTTAGAAAGTATAAAGTAGTTCAAGGCGTCTTGCCTTGGGATCTTTCCCAACATAAGAAGTGCAGATCAGGAACTCATTTTCTCTGCATGTTTGTGTCCTTAGTTCTGTCACCACGCAAGAGGAGCTACACCTTAGCGATCCGCATCATGTAGCTGAAGGCCTTCGGCCGAATGTTCAGAGCTAGTACATTGGTTAGAGACTTGAGTAGTTCGGATCTACACCTGCGGGTGATTGCCGATGCTCAGAGCCAGTGACTAGTTAGATACTTGAATAGTTTCGCCCCTACACCTTCGAGTGTTTGTTCCTGATTGTACTCCTTTGGGATTTTTCCCCTGAATGCCAAAGTGAAGTTTTGCTACTTCGTGTAAGCCTTGGTTGTAAATTCAGCTTACGTTGCAGCAGGTGCCTTTGGGGTAACACCTGTAGTATTTCTGGGAATGACAAGTGCCTAAGAATTCAAACTCTTCAATAGACTGTTGTGGTGTGTTACTGGAATGTTTCTCAGTGAGTCCTTCTGTGCGGACCTGTGTTCTCTGCGCGTTTTGTGAGTTGAGAGTGTTGTTCACCGCGTATGAGTGACTTCGATCCGAAGTAGGCAGTCCAAACCGGGTTTGCTACGCTAGCAGCAAGCTAGTGGAAGTGTTGTAAAAGCCGGAGTTGGGAGTCACTACCCGCAGCTTCGCTGAGTGTACTCTTGAGAGACCTTCCCCCCCTGAAATCTTGAGTAGAGGTCCTAACGGATCTCTGGGTTGTGTTTCTGTAGTTTCAGGTGTGTGTGTGTGTGTGTTACGCTGCACTGTGCGACCTCCGAGTGCGCTCCGAGTGGACACTTGCAGTATTTCTGGGAGTGACAGTCGCCTGAGAATTCAAACTCCTCAATAGTCTGTTAAACGTGACACTTTGTACCCTGTGTGTTCCTCTGTCCCTGTGGGTTCGACCTTTCTACCACTATATTGCAGTTTTAGCCTTTAGTGGGTTATTACAGTGTGAGACCAAGAAGTCTATGGTTGGATCAGCTGTTAATTGTTAGTATCTTAATGAGTTTTCAAAAATACCATTTAGTACATTAGAGGAACCTGAATATAGATTAATGCAAATTTTACAGAGCTTTGATTGCTAATCAAATGGAATGAAGCGAAGGAAAATTCACATGAAATATACATCTTTATAACATGGATGTCTTATATGATAATTTAACTAAATCTATTTGTGATTTGCACTTGATTCACTTTACTTTTACTTCTGTTTAGTATATCATTTTAGAAGATAATTCATCAAAAAATGACCACCTTTATAGACTCGATTATAATTCAAATGATAGCAATATAACACGTGATAGTGCTCTTTCTCGCTCTAACAAAGAACACATATTTGCTCTAGTAAATGCAGAATAGATCTGAATTTCCCAAAGAATTACATTTTTTTAACATTTTTATTTGAAACTTCATACTTCTAATTAAAATAGAAAGATTTGATAGTTAGGATATTGACAAGGGATTTCATCATCAAAATAAATATTTTTTGGTAAATTTATGAAATCATTCATGATTCAAAATTCTAATAGAAATATTAAAAAAAATTAAAGTCTATTATTCCATTGACTGTTATTATTGTTTTCAACTTTTAGTATAAATTTTTTATAATATAGACTTCAGAAATAAATTTTGGATGACGAAACATGTTTCTGTTTTAATATTTTAACGATTTTAGATAAGATTCAAGAGATATGATGGATCTTTTATAGATCAATTTCAATGTCATCAATTGATATAATGAAAAATTCAAAAAATCTTATTGTTATGGAGTGAGATAAAAAATATGAGTAATATTTTGGATGATATATATCACTCACTAAAACTTTTGAAGTTTGGATGACAATGAAACATTAACTTTTTAGATATCAAATTATGATTAAAAAAAAGGAAAGATTGTGGCATGAAGTGGCTGTAGTTTAGTGGTAAGAATTCCACGTTGTGGCCGTGGAGACCTGGGCTCGAATCCCAGCAGCCACAGTTCTCACACAGACTTGGAAAGTGGGAAAGTTTTTTGTTTTATTTTAGTGAATTTCATGTGGATTTTTTTAAAACCAAAAAAAAACTGTGGGTTATAGCTAGACTTCGAAGCATTTTAGGAGCATAAAATTGTTCATGCAACAAGGGTGAACTAATATATGCCTAAAAAGTGTTGAAAGTCGGGTTTCTGGGTTAGAGCACTATCAAATGTCGGTGGAATCTGTGAGCGATGGAAATTGCCATAATTTTTAAACATCAAGACCCACAAGGTACGCATGACGTGAACGCTTGCCATCAAATAAACATGCAGACTGATAATGAGCACAAATTGTTGATAGAACACATGATTTAATTTGAAGGGGAGCTCACTGTCGATATCCTCGGCAATAAGCATGTGGAGAACAAATTTGTGAAGTGGAAGGGATCGTGGAGTGTACTCTTTGCTATAAATATTACGAGCTCCTCAATTGCTCGTAAATATCTCCGCCACTGCTGCATAATGTCAGCAGTTTTTAAGGTAGATAGACAATTAGGGACATACCCAAGACTCGGAAAGAGGGTAAATTAAAATTTTGCAGTGTTAAAACCTTCCAAATCGCAGTAGGAAATTAGCAAAATATTCAGAGAGACTCACTTATTTTACTCCAATGGCTCGTTTGTTTTTGTCCCAAGTTTTTACAATTTTCCGAATTTCAGCATCTAAAGAAGAATTCGAGTCGGACTTGGCAAAGAACTCTAAGAGAACTCCGACAAGAATTCTCAAGGGTGCGCCGTGAGGAATATTTGTATAGCTCCAGAGAGCACTAACAAGCAAAGCTTCGAGTGGGCAGATGAGAAAATCATGGGATGTTCTGGAACTATGGGCCCACCACGCTTCCGCTGTGCCAATCTGATTGGCTGAAAACAAAATGCCCTCTTTCTATTTTTATAGAAAGAGAAATTTATAATAGATAGAAGAATTCATACTGGCTTATTATCTTCGTACTTGTTCTATAGAGACATTCTCTTCTTACTGGGTTATAAGGTGTACCCTTCGAGTAGAATACATTGCTTGCTACATTGCTTGCTACCTTGCTTTCTCAATTCTTAGTCGCATTCCTTCCATCAAGAATGTCGCGTCGAAGTCTGTGTCATTCGCACATTGTGGTCGCATTCAAAATCTACAGTAAACATCCTAGAATACGAAGCTGTATTGAGGCCGTATATAGTAACATATATTACTGCGGCGTGGCGGTCACAAAGACCTCTCCTCAAGCAATGTGTGTTTGTTGAGATTGAGACCATAGCTTGCACCGCCTCGTTCTCTCGTTTAGTTTTTCGTTTCGAGTGATTTTCCACTAACCTGTAACTTTCACATCAACATCAGAGAGATTGTCTACATGGCCCAACGTGGTCTTTGACTGATGATTCGCAACATGCATGACAAATGATCAGGTTATAAATCAGCCCTGAGTACATCCCCGTCTTGTCCTTCGGCTCCCTGCGAACATCTTAACATCCTTGACTAGTAATAAAGTTCCACTGTGTCCGGAAGGATAGCCGACTCAATAACTGATCGACTCACTTTTGTTGGATAATAAATTCTGGCCAATCTCCTTGTGAATGACAAAGTCGATCGGCCTGTAAAAGAGGAGTGGCTACATGTGGATGGAAGGTGTTTGAAACAAGCTGCTCCCCAGTTATATGTAGAGAATGCACCAGCAGTTTGTTGTTTCCAATATAACAGGCCGGATATAGTAAAACATGTCAACTGATAACCAAGTAGACGTCAGAAATGAACCGTGTACAAGTTGTTACAAGAATTGAATTTTTCATTATAATAGGACCAACTATACAGAATTAATCAAAAGATTCTATCCTAGCAGTATCGTTTTCCTTCAACACAACGTCAACAAGATCAAAAGCATCTGCAACGTCACCATGCGTCTGAGAAACGAGGAGTATGGTCCTCTGAGGTAGCCCTTTCAAAACAGCTACAACTCTTGCCTTCCCTTCACTGTCCAGGTGCTGCATACCACTCAAAACATTACATTAAGTAAAGAAAATTTAAACTAAACTTTCCTGAAACCCACTTCAGTCTGTCTTCTAGATGTCCTAACATTACGTCTTCTCTAGGGGTTTCAAAGAATGAATTGTAGCCATGGTCAGAGAAGCTGGTCCCTGTCTTTTAATGATTAGCTATGGGTATCACTGGACTGAACCAATATCTGACGAAGACAAGAGAGAAACTTAAGGCATAACTGTTAATTATATACTTGAGTTGATACCTGCAAAACTTCATCCAGCACAAGAAGGTCGCAATGGACACCACTTCTTTGAGCAGCGAACTCAGCATATCCCAATGCAACAGCGAGGGCCTATTTCCATCAGCAGATATAATGAACAAACAAAGTGAGGCGCATTAGCTCATCATCACTATCCTAGTAAAGTGATGTTATATCTAACATATACGACGATTAGCTTATATATAGCTCGGTCATATATGACCGAGCTAACCCTCTTCCGTGGAAATGAGCGAATGGAAAATCAAATCTACTGAATCTAGAAAGGGTCGGGAGTCGAGAAGATACACAGATTATGAACACCAAGATACAAATGACAACAGCCCTTAATCTAAGGATAAAAGCATTCGTACAGTGACGACTTCAATTTCACATGTCTGATACCAAAATTGTCTCAACCTCCAAACATACAATCTAAGTACTTGGGCTTACCAGACGCCGTCTTTCACCGCCACTAAGCTGACGGAGACTGCGCTGTTCTGTCTCACCCGTCGACAGCCGCACCAAAGCTATCCTATCAATCGCTTCAACAGAAGCTTTGGATCTCTTCGTTTCCTTTGTAGGGCGCAACAAAAGTCCCAGACTTCCTCCCGAGAGGATGTCCAGATGTCTTGCGGTCCTCTCCTGCAACTCAGCCAATGCAGCCTCCAAAACGTAGCTCTATAAAAGTGCAAGCCGAGATGGAGTTAAATCGATGACTTCAAAAGCATGGATGTACAGCTCTCCAAGAAAAATTCTCCTGCTTTACACCGTGCTTCAGCCCAAAGGCTCTTGCACAACCCTTTGGCACGCATCATAACTCTGACTTAGCTCAACTTAACAACATGTTCATATTCTCAGCAACTCTCAGGTGACTAGGGTAATGTGCAATTTCTCCTGATACACTGTCGAAGGATGAACTCATTTGACTCAGTAGAGATATTCTCCTCCACCACTTGATCTAAAGGATTTCAAGTTCTTGCCTATCTCAATCTCCACACAGAGCTCGAAGTTTTGAAAGCAATGAAATGCTCCTAACTTCCTAAAAATGAATCTTTCTTCTCTTAGAAAGATGATAAAAGACTGGAACAAATAACAGGAGCAGGGCCCAAACATAAGTTAGAACACCAAATCCTATCCACTGCTCTAGACTTACTTGCTTTGAATAGGCTTTCCCTATGCTTCTTTACATATATGCAAATCCCTCATAGATCTTCTCACGCTGGCTAAATTCTGTCTTCGGAATACCTACCACCATCTCCTTCTCCAGCATCAGTTGTAAGTATATATAGTTCATATGTGCGAATCTTTGAAGCCAAAATTTTGACTGCACACTTGAAATAACTGGTGTTGCAGAAGCATGGGACTGTTCACTAAAAATACATGTTACAGCCATAACATGAACAGGTATAAGGTTGTCCTCCATCCTTTGAAAGGCATATACAAAACTCTCTGTGACCGTTGATTTGTAGTACCTTCATATCTAGATTAAACACTTGAACTTTACAAGCTAGCACTAGCTGAGGATCCAGAGGCGAACGCAAATTTTCTAAAATTTGATTTGGTCTTCTGAATCTTAGTATAAGTGGATGAAAACTTTTAATGCAAATTTTATAGCAGACTGAGTCTCTTCAGTTTTGTGCAGGAAATTCTTCTGCACACTCCTCATTTCCCAACATGATTGTATACTCTTAAAATGAAGAGAGATTAAAGAGGATCATTGTGACAACGAACACCATGAACTTGCTGTTTCGACTATTTACTAAGACATGCACTATCTTGAGGCTATCCTTAAATCATAGCCCAAATGTATCTGTATCTGTTCAAAACTGATTCAATCAGACACGAAATTGTTTTTTTTGGCCCTCTTCTCAAATTCACCTGAACTTCTGAGTATCTGCAATAGTGGGTCTAGTTCCCTCACCAATCAGCACTCACCACTTTCCACAGATCCCTCTCATTCCAAACGTTCCTCAGCTTACGACTCCAGAGCCGATAGTGGCATGAGGGTAGCAACTTCCAACCTGCTACCCTTATACTTACTAATATCTCTTCACATAGTAGCTACCTTCAAAAAGGTTCTACAGACCGCAATTTGAATTTTCCTCAACAGAGAAGCTCATACTACGGATAAAGAAGAGCTATGATACCATATTTTGGACACAAGTCAGAAGTAACACTTTCATCACTCTCATCTTGTATGCCCACAGTTAGTCACTCATATAAAGTAAGGAAATCACAGAGGGCTTCAATTAAGTATGTGCAGCGCAGCTACACAATAGTCAGAGGGCACTCACAGAGATACAGTTAAATATAGATACATAAGTTATAAGTAGGTCAGAGCTGAAATGTTTCATCCAGAGGAACTCAAATTTAGGTTAACCTAATTAGGTCACTAAGTAAACTACTTTAGATTAACCATGACTAACAAGCATTGGCAGTAAGCGGGTGTTTCAACATAAAATCCAAATTACAGACAGACTCTACCACTCTCAGTTAGTCCTCTATCTATTTCTTCCTAGTTCTTCGTCTCCTCCTGACTCCGCTCCTTCAACTTCTCAATCTCTTCATACTAGCATCTCTCTGCTAGGTCGCGGGTGAATGTCACTCTCATAAGAGATTTTCGATGTGTAGCCATTACAAGTGGCTACTACGTCACGTGGAATGTAAAGACAACAATCCTCAATAGTGTGTTGATGATCCCACCTGGGTGAGGTGTAGATGCACCGACCTCAAGGTTTTGTGGTGGAGATTCAAAAGACGTATGCAGCACATACTTAACAAGGCTCTGTATGAAATGAGGCAAGCTCCTAGAGCTTGGTATGCAACCATTGTTGCTTCGTGACCAGAAAGCTAAGGATATGAAAATTGGATCCAACCTGAATCTATATGTTTTTAGATAAAATACCACCTTGAAAATTGTAAAACTCTCTGTTGTTGATCTACTCCATCACTTAACTGATTCATCCACCTGACATAATAAAAGTGCTCTTGCTGGCTCCCTCAAACAGTTTTTTTACGAAACAAGATGGTTACCAAGATTCAACTAAATCGGTGTATTGGACTGACCTGCACGCCTGTGTGACTGAAGGCATTGTCAAGTTCTTTGAGCCATCCAGTTTGCTCGAGTGCCTCTCTGTAGCTTGACTCCTTCTCCCGTAAGTTTGAATCCAGAGAAGCAAGCAAATCTCCAAGAGCTGCATACTCTGCTGTGAACGGATTGCTCGTGCTCTTCAAACCCCGCAAAGTCTGATGAAGCTGTTCTACTTTGGTACTTAGTCTCCTACCTTCTTGTGTATCTAACTCAAGCTGGTTACTCTTGTTGCGTACGTCTTGATCCTTCACTCCAAGAATCGAGATTAAAAATGCAATCTCTTGTTCGCTATCTCCAGTTGACTCCTCGATATCTCCATTCGATACAGATCTGGAAAGAGTTTGTGTGTCTCCAAGAAGTTGTGCTACAGATTTCGAGACTGAGTAAGCTACTGTCAAGCACCTATGCATCCGATTCACCTGTAAATATCGATAATGCCGACAGCAAATATGTAACCAGTTAGTAATTCCGAATTTAATCAGTTCTCAGTCTTATGATGTAGAATGTCAAAAATGAGATCAGGATCGGTATTGAGAATGGGGGAAATCTAGAAGAACAGGCATCGATACTTACATCTTCTCGTAGCTCTATGGATCTTTTTCTTTGATCCCTGAATGCTTCCTCGTGTCTCTGCATTTCCTGTTTGATTGTATTCGAGACAACCTGGAGCTCTCTTTCTGTTAACATGCGCTCCTGACAAGTAAACAGCAGAATCAGCTTTGTAACAAGCAGAGATCAGAAGATGCCACCAATTGGAAAAAGTATGCAGGAAACTTCGAGTGCAAGATCTCCAAAAGATGCTTACATTCATAAGCTGCGTGTAGGCTTCTTCCGATTGAGCCACCTCTTCCTCAAGTTGGAAAATCGTTTGAGTGGAATGACTGCTATCAACCGGTTGTAAGCATCTGTCACATATTTGCAAAGAAGATACATTCCTTGCGTACTCGTGCAGCCTGTGTTTCTTCTTGTTCAGGAGTGACTCGCAAGTCCTTACCTATGTAGAGCGAAACTTAGATTTCAGAGCCTGAACAGAAGGTTGCCCATACATTGTTGGTACTTCGACAAAGATTGACAAACACATAAGAGACTGAACAAACGATAACCCACCTAGCTGCTAAATAAACTGAGACAAAAAATAAGATATCGTGTGATGTTATCAATCACCTCCACAGACAGCTCCGCTACTTTGGTGAGAAGCATTTCGCGTCTCTTGTTCACTGTTTCTGTCACTTCATACCTGTCTGGACCACCGACATTATCGAGCCCTGAAATAAACCTCTCTAACCTGGAAACTATACTCTCCAAACTAGAAGTAGCCTCTATAAATTGCTGGTATCGTGTTTGACAACTCATTACTAGACGGTTTAAATCTTCTGCAGCTACTTCAGCTTCCTGCTCCAGAATTCCACAGCGGTGATACCTGAAATAAACCGAGCCAATCAAAAGTTACTATCATAACAGACTTGAGAACCGTCTCTGCGGGACTAATCCAGGTGAATTTTCATCTTAGCGGCCAGAATACCTGACATGAGCTCGCGAATCTACAAGCCTCCAATCTTAACCAACAGACACTTGACATTCAGTCTAAAATGACTTAACACCGCAGAGTGTCAGACTACGAAAGAGCTATGGACTCGAGCACCATGTGACTAGGACACCACTTGTCCTCACCAGCTCGTTTCCCATTGCTCCAAGCGTATCTTCGATTCCTGCACCTGAAGAATGAGCACAAGAGTCAAACACTTTCAAAAACTAGTCTTCACTTCCAATGCCATGGCGTCGCTTTCAACACGGACGCTTGCACAAATCATTTAAAAAAACGGTAGTATTTAAATATGAGTGCGAAAGAAGCTCATAACTGCCATAATAGCAGTTGTTCTGAATTTCCTTCAAGGTGCAGAGAAACAATACAAATTTTATCGAGTTCACCCAGATTTTAAAACTTTTCGCGTGAATATCATCTGAGATATATAGAAGTTTCGAGTCTGTGAGCCAAGTAAACTGACCTTCTTCTCTATTTCGAATTTCTGCTGTTGAAGCTGAGTCAGTGCACCCTCAAGAAACTCAACTTCTGTCTGTTTGTTTCGAAGTTCCTGTAAACTTTTCTTCTTAGCAGCAACCCACAAATCCATAGCTATAACCCTGCTTAATTCGTCCTGCATAAAACTTACAAAAATTACAAAAGAAGAAAGAATGCTCAACTTCAATTACCAAGATGGTCAGTAACTTTCATGTTTTGACCCTTGAAGGTCTCTAATGACACAAAATCAACAATTGAAGAGTTACAAGTAAGCAACATAAACTCCAAGCCGGAAGGGAGGAGCACCTTAAAATCTTTGTCTGAAGCCTCAAGCAAACCACCGATACCATATTGACCATGGAATGCTATTCGCTGAAGCATAGATGTGTCTCTGCAAAGACGAAGCACGCAGATGAGAGCCCGTAAGTGAAGAAAGTGTGATAAATTTAATGGATCAAGGCAACTGCATCCTGAAGGTTGGTTAACTGACAGCAACCGTACATGATTTCGTCGATCTTTGCCTGAGTGAGCTTCATGTCTTGGCCGGTGCAGTCTTCTCCATGATAGCTGAACTTGAGTGATGGCTTTCTGCACGTACATATTTACAGTTAATAGTTAGCTTTTGAAATACTGTGATCCTAAAATAACATTGCAATCAACAACTTGAGTTCATGCCAAATGCCAAACTGCTATTCCTGGACCGCAAAAGGAGTTGAAGTGCTCTCAATTTAAGGCATCCATGATCTTCGCGTCACATAACGATGACAAAATAAGGTGGAAGATTAATGATACTGCGTAGACTTCGTGGGGTACCTTCCAGCAATACGCTCGACAGTGAACGGGATGCCACTAATTGTCCCCTGAACAGATACTCGTGCACTCTTGGCTTTCTCGTGAACCACATCCGAAGCAGACAAACCTCTCATCGAGTCCGGTCGAGGATCTGTAGAGCCTGCGAGAAGAGCAACCAGAGATCAAGGTTTTGACAATTAATCCGTGTATCAAATTCTTGCATTAAGAGAATATATTCAATATGTACGCACTGAGAATTTTGTATCCCAGATGATGGTAAGATTGTATTGTTGTTTTGAGCAAAAATCTTTCAGAACCTAAACCTACTTTCGAACTTTCACAATATGTGGAAGAAAACAATCAAACTTACACAGCCTGCTACAATCAAAGAACATTAATGATGAGGTAGACAATTCGAAGTCCAGGGGTCCGCGAAGGATAAGAGGCAGAGTGTTGTATACATACAAAACATATATCTATGATGCGCACCTGATAGAGCCCAAAGAGGAGCCATTACCAGAGTTGATTTGCCAGCTCCGTTACTATCAGCTCCAACCGAGTCCATATTTCTACCACACACAACCCGTATCCCTCTTTGAGAGAGTGGATATTTGACAGGTTCAAGGAATGGACCGAAACCCTGAATGTCCACATTTTCTAAAATAAGCTGCACTGCACAAAACATCCGACATTGTAAGTCTTCTTCCACTGCAGCTGCAAACAAGTCATGCATTCTCCCTCGAACTTTCTTGAAAGGACATGAGGAAATACTTTCTTGATGCCATACAAAGGAAGGCCAAGAATACCCTTAGGCCATGTTTTGTATACAGCACAACAATTTTACTCTTGCTTTTACCAGCGAGGGTAAAAAGCCTGCAGTCTTCTCCAAATTGCTGAAATATTTGACTGCCTTGAGGTAAAACTTGATTCAGCAGGAATAAAAACTGATGCCACATTTCATTGCTCTGCAAAGTAAGAAGAAGGTATGTAAAGGTGTGCGTCAAATCTTCAGGTTCATCCACTCGTGAGAGGTGTACCTTTCGTCCTCTGAATAAGTTTCGCTGGCAAGTCCATCCGTTGCAGAACGTCTGCACCTTTGGAGATAGCTCCGGTGCTCATACCGACTCTCTCAGCATATAAACTGAAAAGTCCGAAAGCATTCTAAAAAATGCAGCCAAAGGAATTCTTAATGAGTGACTAGGCTGAGTCCAACATCGACTTCCAAATAGAACCAAATTGCCAATATCTTCTATTATTGTCCACTCCGATCAAAATAGGCTGAAAGTTTTCACCACGAAGCAGTCATTACATAATGTAAGATCCAAAACCTAGAAGTAAACTTGGGTGAACAGCCTTGCCAGTCTAAACGTGAGGATCCTGCAAGTCGTAGTTAACGAGCTTACCAAATTCTCTGCTTCTTCAATTCGGGGCTTGGCAGACAGTGTTGGAAACACCAAGTCAATTTGTACACCCCTACTTTGAAGCTTATCCTGGTGCAAAAAGCGATCTGGTTGATTAGATGAGCAGATGGAAGTAACTGCTCATGAAACTATTCTACAAAAGCAAAACGGAACAAAATCTAAAATATTGTCCCTGAAGCTATGAGCAAGAAACAAGCACTATAGGTGGTTCAAGCAAATTAATCTCAAGCATGTCATCCATGAGTTTCTACAGGCTTATGAGTATTAATTAAGAAAATTGTCAACTTCTTTGAAACAAGAAAACACGTTACAGCTGAAAGGCTCAGTCCATTTGTACTTCCTAGTCTGGATGTACCAGTTTCAGCTTGATGTTGTCATCTAGAACAGTACTAGACAGAAGAAGCCGTAGCCGGTCACCAGAGCGAATATGTTCCATATTTTCCAGATCTGTGTCTTCTGTTTGTGATATCACAAAGTGCCTTCCACCAATATCAATGGGTATTGAAGCAATTTTCTGCCAAAGATGTTCTAGTCAGACGTCTAGCCTGTTATAGTCAGAAGACAATTTTTTCACATAAACAACGTAGAATGATAACCTCCCGTTTCTATATATCATGTTTCCCTTACAATTATATTTCCCATACTTCAATGCAAGCTTCGAGTTGTGATAACGGACCTCCCATGAACTGTTGAGAAGTAAAAATCGTTTTGTTTGGCCACTTTCACTAGCCGATACTTGATATGGGGAGCCTACGTATTCAATCTGGGAATTGTCAACAACATGAGGTTTGTGATAATGCCCTGTGAAGACAGGTACATTCTCCGGAAAGATCGATGGCTCAACACCTTCTTTGGCCTGACAAGCCTCGTTCATAAATGCACCAACCTGATGTATTCAAATGCAATTGTCATCGTGAGTCTTTAATCGCAATGTGAACTTCGAGCCTGTGTCTAGCCAGTGCAAATTTTCCACATGCCTTTCTGAGCTATGCCTTGACTGGTGTTCTACAAAGGGCTGAGGAAGAAAAATTCCAGATTCATCGCAACTTAAGTTTCAGTGAAGAACTTTGTTAATATACCACATCAAGATGCGCAAAAATGGCTTTCACATTTTTGTGCTGCTTCAGTGCTGCGTCGATGACATTATGGTCGCGACGAAACGGCAACCACAATGCGCCTAGAAACTCTGCAGGCTCGTCAAAAACTCTGATCAGGGGATTCACGGCTCCGAGAACCATCAGAGCATGCATCTGACCACCCATATTCACCTGAATCCAATAAGAGCAATCATTGAGGAGAATAAGTCTGTTGCAACAGGCCAACTACAATCATGATACGCGACAAATTTAAAAGCGCTATTTTCCTCAGGCATGCTCCATCTATCAGTTTAATGCAAACAGGCAATGTGAAAGATAGAATGATTGGCAAAGAACCTGGTCATGATTGCCAGGAATGAATATTGCTGGGCGTGACCATTTTGCAAGCTCTGTTACAACAACATTGAGAAGTTCCACAGGCAGAGCTCCTCGTGCATGCCAGAAATCCCCCAAAAATATGATACCTGCATCCCTGTTTGCTAAAAAATCATTTTGCAGTTTAGAATCAATGGCTTCGTCAGCACTTGTTTTAATTTATCGCTAAGAGCAAATATCTGATATAAGACGTATGTCACAAGAGACATGTACTGGGCAGTGATCAAGCTCCTAGATCCAACTTATGATGTTCCCTTGTAAATATAATAGCTCCATGAAAACTACAGAAAAAACTTTCAGTAGTTGTACCGGTGTACAGTTAAGAAGTGCAAACAAGGTTGTGCTTGCGAAAAGACAGCACAGGATTGACTTAATGACCAACGAACCTGCTCGATGCTTCAGCATGCACTGCTTTCAAGGTTTGTAAACAAGAATCCAGAGTACGCCTACTGACATGTAAATCTGAAAAAACGACCCATTCTTTGACTCCGGACCATATTTCTATGTCCTTTCCGGGCTCCTGCGATATAGACAACTGGTCACACACCCTTTGCTCATCAGGCTTGCCTTCAAACGAGAAATAGTCACTTCAAAGGAGCGGAGTGAGGAGTGAGGAATGCAGATGTGACACTTTATTTCAAAGCTGATTCCAACTCAAATTTCGTAGACAGATTGTGGAGAATTTCGTAGACCGGGGCAAAAAACAGTTGAAGTTAAAGCATACCTTCAACGGGATGCTTTTGTCAGTTCCGTCACCAGCTGCAGCCTTCGATTTTGTGGCTCTCTTTCTTATTTTCCGCGGTGTTTTCGGATCATCGATTTTCGACGGAACTTCAGCCGAGGATGTCTCCGACACAGAGCAGGCGACCGAACTGAAAAGACCTCTTCTGGAGCTGAACTGAAACTTCGATGATGATGATGCAATTGCTACTGAGGTAGAACCTCGTAAATGGCAAGAATTGAGATTCTCAGCAACAGATTCTCGAGCTGCCCGCAGGGATATAGAGAGGTTCAGGGCAGACATCATGAACTTAAGTTGTGGCCGGTAAATGAAGAATGGACTACAATACATAGTAAGACCGACAAGCAGCGGAAGCCGTGTCAGAGGCTTCAAAGCCATTACATGAAATTGTCGTAGAACCTTCAAGTCCTACGACTCGCAATATAATTTCCTGTGTCTGGAATCGTCACTGCTCCGGAAGTGAAAATTCGTAGCAGTTTTGGACTTTGGCCGCGGCGACCTTCCGCAAATCCAGTCACAAGACAGATATAAAACACTTCGCTTTCAAAACTGATGTTTGCGTGTGATGTTCCTGTTGTCTTTCATTCTTGATTCTAAACAAGAAGTCTAAAACTATTCAGCCAACGAATTTCGGGGACGAGTCTTCGGATATTCTGAGAACTCCTTTCTGCATGAGTTGTAGACATGGTCACGAGTGGTGATCATATAAACAAAGAGCATGGCAATTCAAATCACCAATGTTCCAATTGAGGATTTGATTTTCCGCACATTGGTCGGATGATCCGTGGTGCTGCACCCCGTCCACGCCATGCCAGGAAATCCGTGGCCTTTAGACCGCAAATGGGATAAAAAAATTCTGCTTCTCACGAACCAATTATCAGAATTTCAGCTCAAAATTCGAATCTTTGGGAGATGGAACAGAACGCTTCTTCGTTTCCCTCGAAGTGCTCGAACGTAGAAAGCTGGGAACTCTGTATCCTCTTGAGATTGAAGCTCGTAGGACACAGACTATAGAATCCTTGACATACCAGATTCGAATCATACGTAGTCGAATCAGATTTCGCCTTTTTCAGTCTACGATGTTACCACTTAGTGCTCATTTTCCACGGAAGGTAGAAATGCATGTTACAATATGGCTAATAGAAAAGTGATCAATGGATATTAAAACCCAGACCAGTACCACGTCAAGCGTCAAATGTGACAATACCAACAGGTACTATAAGCTATGTCCAATAGTACTGTGATGAGAATTATTTTCTACTTCGTTTACTATATCCGAAATTTGAGAAAACAACAAAAACATTTGGATACATATCACTAGATTGATTTAGTGACGTGTATAATTGGGCATTTCTAGCATTCTCATTTATACAATAGCACTTAATGTGTTATCTCCAAATGGATAGAAAGTATTCTTGCTAAAAAAATTACACAAGAAGTTTGTAAAAATTATACATAGCGAAGTGTAGAATAAACTTTCAACAACATGTCAAAACCCATATTCATGGTTCATATAACTCCAATATTATGGAAAAAAATAAATGAAGTTTACACATACACTATATTTCAAGATGTTGGTTATTTAGCCCATCTAAAAGATATATAATGATACTATTAAATAATTTATCACACATAAAATCATAAGTATCATATTGGTAAGATTAAGTTGTGCTCATACCTTGTGTATATATTCTCTATATAAATTATGCACTTCCATATGCAATCAATAACATATCATATAGCTTCACTCTCACATTGACATGATCTATAAGTGGTAGTGTGAAATCAAGATGCAAAGAGATGGTTCAAGCAAAATCTTATTGCTACAATTCAAATAAATTAATTGTTAAAATGTCAAAAATCATAATCAATTCAGGAGTTAAACTCTTGATTCTTTTTTGAAGCGAGAGTGTAGAATCAAATTCACAGGAAAGCATGAAAAATCATTGAAACACAAGGGTACACACAAAAAGTAATATGATTCATCACTCAAATACGTCTATGAAAACACAAAAATTTCACTATCAATGTTTTAAAATGCAAGCTATGTCTCTCTGAGGTTAATTTTTAGAGTTGAACCAAAAAGCGGGTTGAAATAAACATATATGATACTTGACATGACTTATAACCTAAAAATATCCCCCTTAACTTATGTTGAGGGGGCAATATCTTCCTAAGTACTCTATAGTAAAAACTATATCTGACACAAGTTCAATTTTCAACTAGAACTAAGCAATATACAAAACACAATAAAATAAAAATATACAACGTTAACAAAATTTTATAGTAAACTCTAATTGTACCTTTTATCCAAAACTTGCATATTAACATAATGTCTACTACATCTCTCCAAATGAATAATTTGTTTAACACATCAATTAGATTGAATTTATCGTTAATTTTAATTAGTTCAATCATTTTATTAGTTTTTATATGTCTTATAGAGTAATATGTTATGTTCATCTATTTCACTGTGTGGTAACTCAATTTTTAATTATTAATGAAAAGATGAAGTTTGAGTAGTAGATGAATAAAAATTTACATGTTTATGGTGAGAATAATTAGACGTAGATTAAATCAAGGATTCTGAAGCATATGACTAGTTAGGGTTAGTTGGAATCCATGTTAGATATATCTCTGCAGGAATAAGTGTTTTTATTCGTAGACAAGGAAGTTAAATTAGATAGGTCAAGATATGTTAGAGCATATACCTCTCAACGTTGTCAATTAGTGACGAATTAATTAAGGAAGAATTTTGGTAGATGAATCTCGGCACGCTCGCTCTAACGAGCTTAAGAACTACTGAAACAGATAAGGTATCATCAAGCTATGGATACCGAAAGTGGCTGGTATGAACATGAGATAGACGATGAAGACCTTCGGTCGAGACGCCTTTGGCTTCGAAGAAGAAGTAAATTCGGCCGTCGCGCGGACAGTTTCTGTGAGTATCATAAGATAGTTAGAGCGTTGAGAGCCAACAGTAGAAACGAGAGTTTCGCAGACATTTCAACGAGTTCACTTTTGAATTGAGAACTCTGCAAGTATCGAGAGTGATAAACTAAGACCACAGCGATGATGCAAGTTTTAAGACTTTAATTAAAGTAATTGAGGGTGACAAAATTTGGATTAAGGGCATTCCGAGAGTAGCTGACAGCCGTCAAGTTTGACTTCTTACTTTGGGGTTGAAATTGGATTTGCGCGACGATCGTGTTGGAGTGGTATGAGGCCAAGAGACATAGGGCACTAGAATTTGTGGTCGTCCTGAGAGCTAGACAATGGAGCATTGGCCTCAAGTCTTCGGGTAGTGCGAAGGTCAAGAAGGTGAATTTCTGTACGACCAGCATAGCGTGAAGGTTACTACGTGGGAAGAGAGTACATTTGCAACGTTGTTTTTTTCGCCTCGATCGACCAAGAATGGATGGTGGACGATGGATTACACCGATCCGCTATGACGCAATGTGGCAATGACACTAATGCAGATTCTAAGGCTTTCGCGGACGATGTATGTGACGTCTTGGCAGGTAGAATTCATGGAGCGAGTAGTGACGGAGAAGCGAATTCACTAGACTCTACGACAAGAATGTGAATGACAGGTTTGAGGTACAACATATTTATTTACCCCCGTTCTTTATTCATTTTTATCAAGGCATAGGGTTGCTGACATAGCAAGAGAACATGAAATTCCCGCTCGAAAGGGAAATTTTTGGATTAGAGTACGAAGGCGCTCTGGGAGAGAATGAAGTTGTAAGTGAAGATGACGAAATCAAATCCGCGCAGCCTTCGGCCGCAATCAACATTCCGGACGAAGCTATTGAGGAATCACCTACGAAGAGGCGAAGGAAAGTGACGACGCCTTCGGCTTCGGAAGATGTTGTTCGACGTAATAGGTTGAGGACTAGATGACCTGCAGCTGTTCGGTTGGGATCAGCAGCGACTCATGCTCGCAGGAAGATGAAGGCCTAACGCAGAAAGCAAGAAGTACCGGATAGTGCAAAGTGCAGCGATGTTACGTCGCAAGCTCAGTTGTCTTCGGATCAATGGATAGTAGTGGAAGTGCAAGATGCGGAAACAGAAGACTAATGGACTTCAGAATGGCCTTTGGATGTACCTAAAAAGAGACCTTTGGCAGAAGGTGAAGAGGAAGAAGACGAGACTGAGACGAAGACTTCGGATCAACGTTTTTGACCTTCGGGTGAACCAAGATCAACTTCGGGGAAAAATCTTCAGCCTTCGAGTGCAAGATCTTCAGACGTGCGTGAAAAGATTGAAAATTCTTCAGAGATTACTGTTTTGGACAAATTATCTTTGGAGCAGTTCATAGCGGCAATTGGAAAGACGGTTATGGAGAAATCAACGCTACCTTCATGTCAGGTGTCTTCGAAGACGATGGAGTTTGACAAGGGTGAAGAACCTTCGGCCTATGAGTCGAAGTCGACTAAGTTTAACCTGTCAGATCTCTTGACTGAGCGTATTGTTCCGTTGATGAATTACTTGAACAGGAAGATGGTAAAATACTCTATGTCAGCGTCTTTGGTAGGTTTTTATGTAGAGTTGGTGTGTAGAAGAACAAAGGTAAAGGCGATAGCAACTACTAGGATGATTGAACGGATTGCAATCTTGACGTCCGAGTGTGCAACTGCGACAGTTACCTTGCAGGAGCAAAAAGAGCAACTTTGGGCGAAAGAGTTAAAGTGCGAAGATCTTCGGCAAGAGTTAATTGCCGAAAGGAGCCTTCGTACGAAGAAGGCATGGAAGACATAGAATGAAAAGATCTTCGTGCTGAAGTCTGCACAATTCAAAAGACAGAGGAGTAACTTCGAGACGGATTGGAGAAGTCTTTGAGTATGTTTCAGAGGAAATTTCAACGCGCGGAGGAGCTGATGGAGCATTTGGCGGCACAAGAGCGGATGATGGCTATAGAAGTTGTCATTTGAGAGGAATTATTAGCTTCTTGTGATGCTGCCAAATCTTTGAAGTTCTAGCGCATGGGAGAGTTGGATGCAGATTGCTGAAGTTTGCGATCTCAACAGTTGGTGATTGAGAGTCAGTTGGCTGCTACTCGGATAAAATTGGTGCAGACGGAGTTGATCATTGGACGTCTGGAGCAGGACACAGTTGCCGGTTTGAGAGCTAGAGTAGAAAGTTGACTTCGCAGTTATGTGGATTATGAGATCCAAAGTTAGATTAAAGTTATATTAGTTGGAGCGTAGGTTGAGAGTGTTGGAAGCCAACGAGTTAGTAAGATATCGACAGTTAGGTAGAATAGTTAGTTCTTTTATATCTGACATGGAATAGACTAGGATGAATTTAGAGTTAGAACTCACAATAATTCCGTGTAGAATAGGAGTAGTTAGGTGTTCTGCGGGGTGTGGCAACTGCTGCATCCGTGGCCGTCACGCCTCATGGAGGCTTGCAACCAATGAGTGGTGCCTCAGGATGTTCGTTGTAAATAAAGTGGTCCAAGTCTTTGCAAAAAACTGTTCTACAAAATAGTTTTTTGCATTTAGTCTGCATTACTCTGCACGTTCGTGAGTTTTGCGTTTTGTCACAGTTCAAGAGTTGCTTCGGTTTGTCAAAGATAGCGCATTTGAAGTAGAGTAGCCATTCTGGATGTTTCAAGTGATGCATAGTGTAATTCAGGATTTAAGCAAATCCGTAGATTGGGTGCTCGATGCTATAGGCTTAGCGTGTATACTTTGGGAAGTTTCTCCCTGAATTTCAATTGCAGATTCGCTTGTTGTTTCTGTGGTATTTATTGCATGTATTTCAGGATTTTGATGTGTTTACATCCTGCATTTGTGTCGTCTTTGGATTAACACTTGTAAATGCTTATGGGAATGATTTGTGCTTGAGAAGTAAAACTCTTCAATAGAATGTTAATTGTGACAATATTTGAATCTCTGGTTTTTGTCCTCGTGAGATCAGGTATATACCATTATGTTCCAGTTTGATATTTATCTGTTGTTACACACTATGTTGTCTATCATTTGGTTTGTAGCAAGATGTGTTTCATTCTAACTGTACATTATTTCATTTGCAGCAAAATGTAATATAATATGGCTATCATAGTGAAGATTGACAACTTACTATTTCAATCTCATCTTAATGATAAGCATATTTAATCAAATAACTTATTTTTCTACGACTGATAGTAGTTATGCAATAAATTCAATGCATGAAAATTCTTTTATCAATTATATATTTACCAAGATTCTAAAGATCAATGATAAGATCATCAAATGCATCAATGTGATTAGGATCTTTGAGCTAAATTTTTCATCTTGAAACTCAATAGCTTTAAAAAAATATACAAATTGTTTGATAACTCTTTGCAATGAAATTCTTGCTATAACCGTGATGCAAGATTTAATTATCATGCTCTTCATGATAGACGTATTGTTGATTCTACTTCATGTATATTACATTAGAAACATTTAAAACCTAGAGAAGTAAGCAAATGTATAGTATAATTTGCAGTCTTGAAGTCTAAGTTTCATCTTATGTAGAATAAGTCTCTTCTAGATATGTTATCATTGGATCAACTATTCTCTCCTACTCCTCGCCTTGTCATAAAATTAAAGCAAAGATTAAATTTGATTTTGTACTTATTATTTTTCCACATTATGATGTTTAGATAAAAGTATAATCATCATATATATGCTTGTTATTTGTGTATTGATATTTTGAGCATGGCTTATAAATATACCCTAATGTAGAAGTTCTGCATGACTCCCTTATTTTGATAACAATCGCCAAATCTTTGCAATGTTTGGTTGATGACTTGAGTTATCAATCCCTTTTCTAAGACAATAAATTTTGTGCATAACATATACATATGAAAACTACAAAAAAAGAGTTTCCAAATGACATTTGCATTCTGACTTTTATGAGTAGATTTATGAGTAAAAAATTAAATTTTTTTTAAAAAATGGTTGGGCTAATGGGTGTTTCTAATATCACTCATGTGGGGGTCAAGTATATTTCTAATATGAATGATAATTTTTTTGTGCAAGATGTTCGGGAAATTTAATCAAGTTACAGATTTGAAAATATTTGCACAAACCATCACAATGAAAGAAACAGATTTTGGAAGTACAATGATCTATGTTTGTATGTGTATTTTGAAGGCAAGTTACAATGAATTTTCTTTGAAAAAGCTAAGTAATGTATGACATTTGTTACTGATCGTGGACGTATTGATCTCGTTGGGTGGAATGGATTGCACTCATGTTGTTATATGCTTGGCATGATGACCATATGCAATTTGCACGGAAATAACACTTATATGAGTTAACTACTAGCACATAGCTTCAAGGTTGGAGAAACAAAAATTCAAACTCTTTGCAACTCTTACACTTAGAAAGCATCAATCTTGTCACTAGCCATTTATATATCCAAGACAATGAAATATGAATCCCTATGGATTGTTTGTTAATTATAGAATAAATATCAATCATGTTTACAAAAATATTGTATTTGTCTTTTCTTTGATGTTAAATTTCATCATAATTTGAATATATATAAATACTCTTTTGATACAAACTATTCATCTTCACACTTCAACACATGTAACATCCTTGATAGTATCTGATATGATGAGTAGATAGATATCTTGGCTTCCATTATAACTCATAATTCATGAGTTAAAAGTCATATAATATTTGCTCGATCTAAAATAATTTCGCAATCACATACATGAATAACAAAAACATGCAGATGGATGAAAGTTCAATAAGTAGAGTGGAATGCATGGTAGTATCGAGAAATCAGAGCACAAATTAATGTTGAATGAGGAGTATTAAAGATACTAGAAGATAGAGGAATAACTAGACTCAATGGAAGTAAATTATATTAAAATTATCGGTCCATCAAGGTAGCTAGTTGTCATCCTGTCCAGAATAGAGAAAAATTAATGCTCATGTCGTATTTTTGGAGCTAAATTAAGATTAAAATTGCTGTATGACTACATGTAAAATTTATAATCTGGTAACGGAGTCCCTCTGTGGAAACGAGGGATTCATATAGACATAGCAAAATGGTAACCAAGATCATAACTTCAAGTATGTGACTATTTGCAATCCACAAATTGAAGAAGAAGAAAAGCTTGCTACGTCATTAATCATTTCATAGTTCGACAACTTTTATTCTTCAGTTTTGCAAGAGCTTTTTGCTAATTCCATTTTGCTTAGATAAGAAGGAGGTCTGCGAATTTCTTTAAGTGTTTTTTTCCTAATGTCTATAAGTTGGACTGTAACTTAGTTTTTCAGCTCGATGACCATAAGTTGGTGGCTGTAACTTAGATTTTCTTTATCCCGACTCTCGCAAAATTTATGAAAACCAAAGTCATCCTTTGGATGCTTTAGGTGCATATGGCCCCTCCTTTGTGGCAAACAAGTTTCTACATTGGTTGGTGGCACGCCTGTTGTCGAGACTAGCTATCACTATCGTAGTCTAAGAGTTCACATTCACGGCTTTGGTGCATCTTGTGTGATCCTCGTTCACCCACCACAACATGCATTTTTGTTGATTCCAAAGTCTTGTAACGATTTTGTTCCCCGGGTGCAGTATTTTGTTCCCGATGACGCTTGCATTGTCAGTGGAAATGAAGTCAACATATCTGCAAGTTATACACTAACATTATAGTCGATGTTATTGAATGATTACTATTTCAATAAAATTTTGTTGTATGTCAGACGAGGAGCGCAGCAATCTTGGGGTACGTTGGATCCTCGGAAGTTGATGCGAGTCACGCACATGGACATATAACATCCACTGGGCAGAGAGATGCACAAGTACAGTAGGACATTCCTTGTACAAGCTCGAGGTGAAGTTGAAATACAAAGAAAATAATCATCCGAGCTGCAGTTTCTACACGATTGGAATAATTTGTTGATTATTAACTTGTTACTTCATGAAACATGAAGACTATATTTTGAAGGGTTTTCTATACTATTTACCTCCCGAAGTGAACCTCAGCTTTCAATCCCTTCAATCTTCATTGCCGAGGGATCTAAAGAGAATGAGGGAATGAGGGCACTTCGGAAGTATGGGTATCTTGAAGTATTGACTCATCAGAGGATCCAAGCTACTTGCGGTTCACGTGCAAACATCCTTCCTAATGCTAGGTAGGAAACATTTCATGCCGATGATGGGCATTGCCCTCCTCCAGTGGAAAATGTAAGCTCACATCTTCCGCAACTTCCTAGTGTCCAAGATCAGATCAACCTTTTTATAGATTTGGTGAAGCATAACCCGCTTTGGACTTTCACCAGTAACTCAGCGCCTCGCCTTGTTTTAGGCTATAGCTCCAAAGAGGAAATCAAATGTCCTAAGGTAGATTCCATTTGATGGTTTCATGCCTTGTCACGCATCAGATCTGACCTCCTGCAAGAAAGAAGCTCGTCGAGAATACTTAAGATTCCATAGCAGTTGACAATCGTCACTTGTGGCTTGAAAACCAAGCTCATGTCTCCAGCCAAGACATATAAAGTCCCGAGGAAGTTCAAGTCCTCCTCTCATCTCTGCATTGAAGATCCGGTAAATACCGGATCTTCAAACAAAGGAACACCATTTTCCCAAGTTTATAGCCGTGTTGACTCATAATCTAATGGAAAGCTTGCAATTTACTAGAGTTCCAGTCGCGCTAAGGCTTAAAGAATCCATCCTTACATGGTAGACCCTCCTGGGATCAGCTGAAGGAGGGACCATTTCCAGGACGATTCCTCAAACTTTCATGGACCTCATCTCGACCAAAATATTCGCGTAGTGTCCTGATCTTGATGGTGATAAATGCTTATTCAGCATATCCAAGCAAGACTCTTCGCTTACTCTGTCATTGGCAACTTTCACTGCAAGTTCCAAAAATTTGGTACATATGAGATAATCTGCTGCCTGAACACAGTCCAGAAAAGAATGTAAGGTAGAAAGTAGTCAATTTCTATGTGGAGTACTGTGCACTTTGACAATGACTATATATATATATATATATATATATATATTACTCTTATGATCCACTTAGTTAAGCTAACTGAATCCGTAAGTATATCAGAAATTACAACTAGATTGTATTCTGTGATGTCAAATGCCTTTACTGTGCTAGACGCTAGCTAATTTACATGCCCTTCTTCTAAGAACAAGTCTAACAGGTCTGTATAGGTGGCCGAAATGTCAATCAGAGCAATTATTCCAGCTTTTTGGCATACATGTGGGCTCGAATATCTTAAAGACTGTACACTGTGGATTGCTTATCGTCAATGACCAAGTCTTTCAAGTGAAACTATAACATAGACTGCTTTGATGACCTTTAGATTTTGAATTAGGATTCCATCCGATATAAATGAATACTCTCAGATGCTACTATCCATCCCTGAAAGGTGAACGAGTTCAAAGACTACTCTTTATCTGCCACTGTCACGGAGTTTCTGATCTACAGGCGGGAATCTGTAGTTGAAAGAAGTGGGCTAAAGCAGTTGACTAAGGAGGAGAAGAAAGGAGAGTGGTACTCTTACCGCAATAAGTTGAACCAAGATGGGCAAATCTACATTCAGAAGATACTCCTTGCAGATTTCAGGATGCGAATCCATAGCTTTTGCCAGCTTGATGAAATCTCGAAGAGTTTCGCCATTTACCATCGGAGTTGGAATCAGAGACGAACAAGTGTCTTCGATTACAAACTGTAAAAGCTGACAATGCGATACGACCTCCATGCCTACCTCAAACATCTTGCCATCGCCAGACTTGAGAGTGTATTCCGTATCCATGATCAAATCTGCTCTTGAAAGTGCTCAACCAGCAGGATCGCTGCACCTCGAGAGAGAAGGGGAGAGAAGGAGAGAGATATAGAGATGTACCCACTGTGAGACTGACAGCACGCGTGAGTAAGTGTGTAGATGTAGCTGAACTTAAATCCGAAATAGTTGAATGCAGTACAAGATCCGAACGCCTAGCAAAGTATTCACGTTAAGTGACTCGGCAAATTCATCGGTCACTTCATTCAATTTAAAAGGTATGAATTGTCCGTTTGATCTTCGTCTACTAGCGAGCGCTGGTAGAGTGATTGAAAGTTAAATTGGAAAGCTCTTATCGGTCACCTATGGCCAGTGACAGTCGTTGCATGCGCGACAGGCGATGTCACACAACGTGTACATGTGTTTTTCAACGTCCAGATTCACAGTTTTTCGTGCTTTTCTACCCGACGAAGCCACCTGTTGGATCATCACTTAGTTGTAAAGTCTCGTTGGCATACTTGCCTGTGTTTACTGGCAGCCTGCATCTTAGTGACGGTTTTTCTTTGGATATTGCAAATCATCTGAGGTGCAAGGGAGCTTTCGCCTGAGCAAACACTTCGGTTTTCCAGACTGAAATGAGGATGATCATTAGTACACTGCAATCTCTGCATTCCTCGACATATTGTCTCGCTTACTGAACAGCCTTTGTAGTACATACCTGGAATGCCTGACAAAATCTTGAGTGCAGCGACCAAGAGAGGAAAAACTAGTTGTTGGAATTTACAAAGTTGACAAGGATTTGGAAATCTGGTAAAGAGATTGTGATGCTTTCGTGCACGCTAAACTCAGTAAGTACTGCCTATTACTTTGTCCCATTACTTTGGTCGTTTACAGTTCAACCTCGGCAGACTTGGAAATTCAATTTCCCAGCAAGCTAGTACCCTCCCGACATACAACCATTCATGTGTGAGGTGATGGTGTCCAGCAACAAGTGCCGGTGCGGTGACTGGTAAGGGGTTGAAATTCCATCTCCCGTGTTTGCCTTCTTCCGGATTCGTTCGTGTTGTTGGACTGCACGGCAAATCTACTAGCAGAGTTCATTGCACTGGATAATCCGGCATAGACAGTACATTCTATATGATCATAATAGCTGCCGTTTGACTGGCGCCCCAACATTAATCTTAAGATTCGGTTTGCAGTGGATGTACTACGTTCCCATCATGCTTATAAAAGCCAACATGCTCGAGGTGAGAGTCCGGCTTCCAGTACAAACCTTCATTGTAACATTGGATTTTGCAGATAGTCTCTGTTTCGAAAATCGTGAAAATTTGGTGTGGAACTTTCGTATGATGTTGATTCCAAATAGAACCAATGTACGATCGCCGCCTATATGAAGCAATGCAAAACCCTAAAGTGCGAAACACAGAAAGTAAACATCACAGAACCCTAAAGCGTGAAACACAGAAAGTTAAAATCACAAAACCCTAAAGTACTGTTGTTGGTTCTCTTCGTCGGAGTTCATCGTAACCTTGGCCGAAAAGAGCTGTGAGAGTGCAAGAGAAAGGGCAACATCTGAGTGGCGCGATTTTGCAGAATTGGCATCCAATGCCTTTGGATAGGATTTTTCATAGGATTCGGTTGCATCATTCGCCTTCAAGCTCCCAGCTGACCGTCTCTTTACCCTAAACTTTCCAACCGCCTCAAGATAGCGCCCGGAGTATTGTCTATACCGATCAAAGTTGAGGGTTCTATATGTGGAGGGATTAAGAAAACACTCACTGGATAATAGAAGTTGTGTATAAAACATTCAAAATTGAAGAGAGAATCGTGTGGAAACATTTGGCCATATATTCAATTTTCATTGAGATTTGATTGTTAAAGAGGTGTGGAGAATAAAATAATTATGTGATGTATTTAGTAAAAAATGTGTTGTATCTAATAGACGTCAAAAAAATAATCACCAGCAGATTTCACATATTCTCACCTGGAACGGTAGCTATGAAACGATGTTTTTAAGGAAAATTGTTAAAATAATTCGTCATGTGAATAATCTACTCTTCAAGCGTGCGATGCATAGTATGAACACATGGCAAAAGACGAAGTCACTCGATGCACACGTGCTTCCCAGACGCCACCTCGAGAAAAAGGCCCAGGCCACAACTTGGATGATACAAGGATTATATCTCCGAAATTTTTCAAGAATTGCAGAGCAAGGCAATTCCTCCAAGCAACCTCATCTTCCCTGGCCAATCACTCTCTTGAGATATCATGAGCCTTAACTTACAAATTGTGGTGGCATCTCGAGTAAGTATAACTATCGACATCACCCATATTTCAAAATCTGGTTGGTGATGGGAGGGAATAACCTCGATGGGAGGGAAACACAAAATCATTTTCAAGGACAGCGTCTCGTCCCAGGCTCCCAGGTAACCATGCACCATGGATGAGTAATAATCGTAACCAATGCGGGTAACGGTCGGTAAGACACAGTTAAAACCACTTGATTGCTTCGCTTGGGGCTGTAGTGGCATTCATAAACAAGCCGTTAAGTCTTTTGGCAACTAGCGCCAAAAGATACAAATTCGCAGGCTTTTTTAAGCCGTTTTACAGGTTTGCGCAAGAGTTCTGCTCCAGACAAGAGCCCTGCCCTGACAACTCCACCTTTGTCTGCTTCTTCGGAACAAGCCTCGGTTTATTTCCCGGAGTTGACGACATAACTCACAATCAAGGCAACCCATGGACTTCTCTGAGGTTCCCGAACGTGAGTAACGAGGGAAGCATCGCAAGACTATTGCACAATCAAGCCCAATCTGAGGAAACTGCGAGAGATAAGATCCAGCCGGAACTCGCCTGTTTGATTTAATTCGTTAATCCAAGACATCGTTGTATTAATTAGAAACACGGATAGTTTAAAGTTAGAAAGCGAGTGAAACTGTTTGAACCTCGTTCGTGAAAGAGAAAATATTATCCAAACATTGACCGAGGAAAGTAAAGAGAGGGGGCCAAATGAATATCAAACGATTCGAAAGGAAGACCCCAACATTGACCTAAAATGCTCTTGTAGCTCCTCTTGATGCCCTCTGGCCTTCTCCAAACATGATTGCCCCAGATTCCAGGGCTCTGTAAACTCTGCGTCACGTCACTCTTGTAGAATAGGATGTGAGGTGATGATGAAGTGCATACATAGCAATCTAGCTCGATCCGAACAAATTGGTCACATAGATGAAGAAAAAGGTTTTCAGTTTCTTGCAAGATACATTGAAGGACCTGCCATTGCAAAGTTCGACTTATTCGAAAGCTGCAGTGATTAGATTTTCAGAAAGTATTAGTTATTTTACGTCTGGTTCCTGCTTGGTTCCCTGCTTGGTTCCCTGCTTGGTGCCTTCTTTCTCACGGTTGATGTTCTTCTCATTGTCTGCGCTCTGTATATACTTCCACTATTTAATTCTTCCCCGTGTAGAATGGAGACTTGAATTCGGGAAAGAAATTCGGGAACTATGAAAGGCCGGTGTCGTGAGTTGGCACAGAAGATGTCAAAAGCCGGGATTTCTGGGGTCGTTGAATGCATCTGGAATTTAGAATGAGGAGTGCTCAAAACATTTAGATTGAACCTCTTAATCCATGGAGACCATCGGAGTCACGAGTAATAAGAAACTCATCTCGACTCAAGTGTTCCACCTGAATCAAAAAAGGAATGGAATCTTCTCAGTCATGAGTTCTGAACCAGGTCACATGAAATTTGACACATCGCTGAAGATCCGAAACAGTCACTCTAACAGATGGTTGTGAGCACACAGTGACCGGTGCGAGGGAAGACATCGCCCAGTCGCCGATACTGTATGCACGTTGTTGCTCCTTCAAAGTGGGAAGGGTAAGAATGGCGGCGAAAGCGTTAGGAACATTTCCATTCAACGCGTCCCAGTCACTTCACTTCGAGCAGCATTTACTTTTACCAACTATCTCGTTCATCTGAGCTTCTTAAATAAAGCTCACGAAGATCTAACTACAAGCAGGGTGCAAGACGAAGATTCGTTCTTGCGAAAGGACCAACTGAACTTGGGCCCACCACCATATCTGAGTCTACAAATCAAGAATGAACAACTGCACCGAGAGCTTTCCTGGTCCCCTAAGCAACTTGTGCAGGCACCTTGCAATAAAGCATGATATCCTTCCCCAGGTCAGCACAGTTCCATCATTAATTAATAGTTCTCAATGTCAATGATTACGGGGAGGGGCGCGAGAAGAGTAGATATGGACGCTTTAAACAACGATCAGAAATTGGACGAAGCATGTCATCCTCCTCAAGCGAGCATGATAATCCTTGATTTCGAGTTGGTGATCGGACACACTCGAAGTTGCCCACTCCAGAGAACGTGACGGAGGTGAAGAGTTTTGGCCATTAGCTGCATCAAGTCCTCCCCCAAATAAGCTCACACTATCCGACTAACGTGAATGAATGCACACGCATCACCCGTTTCCAGGTGAAACCATTGTGCACGGGTAAGACCTGGAGACATGTAAGCCTCCATGAAAAGATCTCTGAACAGTGAGGGAGGGAGGTCGCTCAACAGTGGTCGACGGACTCTGTTGGGAGCTCTCTCTATCAAAGATTCAACGGAGCAATTCGCCCGAGATGTTGTAGCATTCCCCCCTGACAAATTTGCAGGGCAGTTTGCACTTAGATGTGATGTCGAATGCCAAAAGGCGGCTAAGTATGATTCAGCAAGGGTGGCCTCATGCAACATCGACGTGTAGTTCTCGGACTGGAAGCGCCCTTCGAAATCCGACTATAATTAGTTGCAGCCTGGTGGAATATTACTCAGTATAGAAGATTCGGAGGGAAATGAAAACCGTAATGAAAAGCAGGTCCTTCCCCACCTGTTCACGTCAACCAGGTGAGTCTCACTTGGAGGATACATTCAGTGTTTTGGAAAGAAGAACCTGATCTCGCAGAATATCACACCTGGACGAAGTGTTTCTCGCGAGATGTTATATGTTTCACTGTGGGAGATTTGATCCTACCAAATCGGAGTGTGCGAGATAATCTGCTCTCAAAAGTGAGTGAGAACGCATGCTTCTCAAAATGCTCGAGCTTGCCAATTCGGTGAGTTCGAATGCATACAAACCACCAAATAAAGGATCGTCATCCATGTTTCAAACAGGTGAATATTTCCCCTGGTGACTGGACAACCTTGTTGCAGTAGCAGTTTGATCCAGATCCACCTCCTGTGCCTCATGTGGTACGTAGTAGCTGGTGCATGTGAACGAATTCTCCTGGGTCGTGTCAGTGAGTGCGACCACGACTACGATAGCGTCATCAACCATGGCGTCATTGCGAATCAGATCCCATGAATCACCCTCGTTCCGAAATCCAAATGGATCTTGACTCGATTCGAGAACCGCTAATGCGATTCTTGAGTTTATGTCAGCACAATGAACATCCATTGAATGTAAGGTGGATGACGAGGAGTGGAGATGAGTTTAGGCGACAGATGCAAACTGTTTGGGAGCTGACGGTGTAACCATAAACGCTATGGAACAGTGCTTTGTAGAGGACACAACAACGAAACTCTCTCACGAGTCGTAACCGACGTTCAAGTCGTCTCGAAACGGCAAAGCCTCCAGTTGCAACTCTGAAACTTTCCTCGTTCCGTTATCGAAGGGGATCATCAAATCCGCAGATGTGGTAGAACATGATGCCGCATGGACACAGTAGCGTATCGTGTTGACTTTGTTTCCTACAAGACATGGCGGATGATGGACTTTACAGAGCCGAGACCGGACCTCGGCCCATCATGCACAGCTTTTGACCAGATCACATGATCCAGCCAGGTTTTCGGGAGATCGATTCGTGTTTAGGCACGAGGATTGCATCTTGAGTAAGAATGGTTTCCTCCGATAATAGCTCTATCGGGAAGTAAGGACTAAGCCGTTGACTCCGGTCGCCAGAGTCCCGGTGGCCCCTACGCACGCTACGCATTCCCATCCCTTCCGCCCAACACGTAGGCAGCCAGTCAGAGGCCGGATCCAGTCGAAGCCTGCACTCGGGTCTTTGTTGACTTATGTGCGCGGGCGGGTATGCTCTTGGGCAGTCGTCTGAATGCTCCTGCTCTAATGGCCCTGAGAGCTCGAAGGCCCTGCTGCCCTGTGCACTAAAAGGGTCGAGGGGTTTACCGCATGTGGGCTGGGGGAACTGGACACTGCGCCGCTCAGAAATTTCCTTTGTGAGATCGAGAGCCTGGTACCGACCCACCACCCCCAACACCCGCAGCGAATCGCCTCTCTCTCCCCTGGGTCCAGTCTGCAAGGCTGGCCAGCCAGACCAGATCAGCCCAGCCCAGCTCAACCCGACCGACCGACCTCGGCAGTGCGTTGAAGCCTTCATGGGTCCGCGTGAACGACTACGACCGCACTGGGTGCCAACGCAGTAGTCGCCTGACCAGCAGATGTATGAGTGATTGAGAGAGTGTCTGAGTGAGTGAGTGCGTGAGTGCGGGCGGGTGGGCGGGCGAGTGTCGATTATTTTGCTAGTCCTACCCGACCCATCGACGGCCTCATCGATCTTATCAGAAAATTTTCCAGCACCGAAAAAACCAGATCCTTCCGCTGAGAGGAGGACGAGCGTCAGGAGTCGTAGGTTCCCGTGTATCGATCGAGGTAGAAGCGTCCCGTGCACTCGGAATGAGAATGTTCGAGCCGACCAGATGTGATGTGACGAGTCGATTGTAGCCTGAAGAACCGGGATACGTGCTTGTTCCCCACTTGTCAGATTTGGCAGACGCACTCGGACCAGGTTCCCACCGGGCGTGCTGAATGGTCGTGAATTTTCATCACCCGGCTGGATGCCCGGTGCCTGCTGATAGAACACCAGCTGACTGAGCGAGCTCACATCTCGCCACGAGCAGGAATTCCCCCTTGCGAAGAGCCGACGGGTTCCATCTATAATCGCCAGCCGTGTCCTGGAGTGATTTGGACCTCGCAGCAGTGGTACAAGAGGCACGACAGAAGGTGGCGGCGTTCGTCTCTTCAGCTTATTCTTCTCAACAAGCATCAACGAGGGCAAGGATATCAATAGTCAGTCATAGCATTATATCGATAGCGATCTGTGGAATGCGAGCATGTCCGCATGGACAGGCGCTCCGTGACTTACATGGAGCGATGGGCCTCCGTTGCATACTCTGACCGGTACATTGGAGGATAGACACAGGCAGGTACACGGGGCTTTGTCATCCTTCCAATCGAGGGTTGAAATTAATGGCTGCTGCAGCTGCTGCCATGGGATGTGGTCAGCTCTGTCGTCGTTGCAGATGTGCAGGCCTCGGGAGTCGGCTGTCGGTGTTCGTTGCTGCGGTCGCAGTATTATTCTTGGTGACGGTGGGCGGGGTGCAGGGATTGTCGGGCGATGGAGCGGCTCTGCTGGACTTCAAGAGAGGCGTGGTCGATTCGTCGGGTGCTCTCGCAGATTGGAATGCTTCGGACTCGAACCCCTGCAGCTGGTCCGGAGTGTCTTGCAACAGGGATAGGAGGGTCATGGCGCTCAACCTCACCAATTTTCAAAATAATCTCGCGGGATCTATTTCTGCCAGTTTGGGAAATTTGACAAAACTGGAAATTTTGAACCTGTCGAACAATATGTTCAAGGGACCCATTCCTACAACGCTTTCCAAGTGCGTGGGCTTGAGGATCATTGATTTTGGCAGCAACCAATTGAGCGGTATCATACCACCGGAGCTTGGGCTTCTTAAAAATCTCGAACAATTGACTCTAGCATCCAACAAACTGAGAGGCCCTGTGCCGGAGGAGCTGGGTCAACTCGTCTCTCTGTCTCTGATCGACCTTAGCGCTAACGACCTCAATGGAAACATTCCATCGACGCTGGCCAACTGCCCCGCCCTGGACTACGTCGATCTTTCACTGAACTCGTTCAGTGGTAGCATTCCCGAGGAGTTTGGCCGATTGCAGCTGCTGAGGGTGCTGCAGGTATCTTATGGCGGCCTGAGTGGTACCATTTCGCCTCTTTTGGGAAATTGCTCCAGTCTGCAAATTTTGCTTTTAGATAGCAATTCTTTGAGAGGTGTTATACCGGCCACCTTTGGCAATCTGACACTTCTCCGATCACTGTCACTGCGGAGTAACAAGTTGCTTTCAGGTATTCCTCGGGAGCTGGGGAAGTGCTCCGAGCTCGTGAGCTTAGATCTATCCAACAATGAATTCATTGGCCCGATACCTAAGGAGTTGGGAAACCTGAAGAAGCTGAGATTATTGCTGTTGTCGGACAATTTGATGTGGGGTTCGGTTCCCAGCAGTTTAGTCAATTGCACCAGTTTAGTAGAATTCGATTTTTCGCACAATAACTTGACGGGTCCATTGCCCGACTCGTTGGCAGACATGCCGTCAATTCAAAACATAAGACTGGCTAATAACTTGCTGGTTGGTCCAATTCCACGAAAACTCGGGCAGCTGAAAAACCTCACGAGCTTGGACCTGTCGGCCAACAAGCTCAACAACACCATTCCCGTAGGGCTTTGCAGCTCGGGCGAGCTCCGCGCTCTGACGCTGTCTCAAAATCTACTCACAGGTGAGATCCCAGAAGACTTGGCAATTTGCTCCTCCCTCGAGAGCCTCAGGCTGTCTTCGAATCGGCTATCGGGCTTCATTCCAATTGGATTCGGACAGCTGAAGAACTTCCAGTCTCTGGACTTGAGCTCCAACAACATCTCGGGAATCATCCCCATCGAGCTCGGCACCAGCACAAGCCTCTTAGAAGTGGACGTGAGTCACAACAAGCTGCAAGGATCCATTCCAGCTGGATTCGGCCAGTTCCCGCCTCTCTTGATGCTGGACTTGTCAGTGAACAAACTGACTGGCGCTATTCCGCCCGGCATCGTCAACTCTTCTACCATAATCAGACTAGATTTGAGCAGGAACTCCTTCAGCGGCCCTGTTCTAGCGCCGCCTGTCACAGTCACCACCGTGCCCATGGAGTCCTTGAACCTGCACCACAATCAGTTGTCCGGGAACATTCCAGTCGAGCTGGGCCAATTTCAGGACTTGACCGAGCTCCAATTGGGTGACAATAATCTGGATGGACCGATTCCCATCCAACTAGGAAAATTGCTGTTCCTCAGAAGCAAGCTCTCTCTCAGAAGAAACAATCTGACCGGGTCGATTCCTGCGCAGCTCGGCAATCTGATGCTCCTCGAGGCCCTGGACCTATCGGAGAACAAACTGTCTGGATTTATTCCGTCCTCGTTCAACAACATGCTGTCTCTGAACAGGGTGAATGTGTCTTACAACAACCTGACGGGCGTGCTGCCTGCGAGATGGATGACGATCCTAGAGACCTTTCCGTCGTCTTTCATTGGCAATCCGGATTTGTGCCTCAGTGCAGATGTGGACTGTGTGGACCCCGACGTGACCCGAGCTAATGATCGAGGCTCGAGCCTAAGTTCTGCAGCTGTCGCCAGTATCGTCGTCACCTGCGTGCTGGCGGCGGTCGTCTTCGGAGTGCTGGTGGTCATCGCCCGGGGTTACTATCGTCGAGAGAAGATCAAATCCGACAAGAATTTGGAGGATAAGAACGAGTTTAAGGTGTTTACGAGTGACACCTTCTCGCTCAGCGATGTGATGAAATCGACCCAGAATTTGGACGACTCGTTTGCTATCAGCAGCACGAGAAATAGCACGGTGTACAAGGCCGAGCTGCCGTCGGGGAAGGTGTTGGCTGTGAAGAAGTTGACATTCAAGAGGGACGATTTGGCCGAGAAGGTTCTGAGCACGGAGACGGAGACGGTGGGCAAGATCAAGCATCACAATTTGGTTCAGTTGGTGGGATTCTGCAGATGGCAAGGGCTGCGGCTTCTGATGTACGATCACCTTCCCATTGGGACTCTGAGCGATGTACTGGACAAGCACCGGGACGAAGCGCCCGAATTTTTCTTCGATTGGAAGGCCAGGTTTAGAGTGTCCATCGGGATGGCGCGAGGTCTCGCGTATCTGCACCACGATTGCTCTCCGAAAATCATCCATCGCGATATCAGATCGACCAATGTCCTTCTAGATGCCAACTTTGAGCCTCAGATTTCGGATTTTGGACTGTCCAAGCTCATCGATCAAACCCGAACCGCCGCAAGCGCTACATCCAAGGTCGCCGGGACTTACGGGTACATAGCACCAGGTAAATATCTGCACTCTCGCACCTCAAGCAACATCCTACGTGCTGTTTACACGAAACCCACCCGATTAAACTGAGGCCTTCGATTGTCCTCGTAGCCCAATGGTATTGCTCTAGTTCTGGTACAAATTTGCTTCAGATGTGGTGGAATTTGTTACTCGAGCGATTTAAACCATTGGCCGGTTTACAATCATTGAAAAGTGCAGCGCAAATACGATTGATCAGTGGTTCTTCGGCAACAGCTTGAAGAGAGGCTTTTCCATGAGTGTAGAATCCGTCAGAGGTTGAGAATCACTAGCGAATCACCGAGGTTTTAGGCCGAAGTCAGTAGGCGCACTGTGTAGCAACTTTAAATTTTTATTAGCTGGTTGCGAGACTTAAAGAGATGACCGCCGTGGTTTCATAACATTAGAGCAACTGATGGCATGAAATTTGGACCTGATCTCCGAAGTTCATAATTTTGGTGTGCAGAGTTCGCCTACACCATGAACGTGACAGAGAAGATCGACGTATACAGCTATGGAGTGATTCTGCTCGAGCTTTTGACAGGCAGGCGGGCCTCGGATCCAACTTTTCCTAAGGACGTAAACATTGTGTCGTGGATGAGATCATTCATCAGTAGCTCTCCGAATCCAGAACCAATTCTAGCGGCTGATGTGTACGAAAGCTGCGACGCCCGCAGCAAGAACCAAATGCTGCTGGTGCTCAAGGTGGCGTCTTACTGCACGAACCACCAGGACACGAACAGACCGACCATGAGAGATGTGGTGCAGATGCTGGAACAATTCGACAGGTCCAGCAGCAGCGTGTCCGGGGTAGGAAGCTCGAGGGTGGGATCCTTCATGCAGTCGGGAGTGCTCGCAGGGTTCTCGGACTCGGATACCGAAACTCTGTTTGTTGACATGGACCAGAACACGACCGACGAGGATTACGCCACAGCTGATGATAGGAGCATGGGGTCGCTGCACTCACGATCAGGGTCAATGTTCTGAAGATAAGATTTCTTTTGCACCACACGAGGCATGTCACTGCAATCTGTCAACTCAACTCACAGGATAAAACAGGGGAGCTGACAACGCGGCTTCCGACTGTGACCTTCACTCGGTCAAGGAGTCGGACGGGCGATTTCTGAGGGGATCATCTTCTTAACAACTATGATGAGTCTGTAAACAACATTTTTGGTGGTCAACGTCTCCATGCCCACAACATCTCGGTGTTAGAGGGGTATCGAGGGGGTGCTACGCCGTCATGGTTGATGAGGCTGTACACTAGATTAGAATCTAGTTAGTAACGTAGGGTGTAAAAGTGTTGAAACATTTCAAAAATGATAGATTGTAGCTTTGTGTGTAGTACGGTTGATGATTCTTTTGTACAGTTGAACTTTGGTCTATTCATTACATGATATTCAATTTAAAAGTTTTTTTGGTAGAGTACTTGAAGTTGAGAGAGTTAGAGAATGGTTCCTACGTGGGTATCATGTGCGTAGAACGTAGAAGAGATAAAGATAGTTCGACTTGACGTCGATAGAGGTGAGAATAAGGTTCTGGGAAAAGCTCAGTATAGAGTATAAAGTAACCGTCCGCCTTATGGACCATTTCATCTTCAAGAACAAGAAATGAGAATTCGATGCCTCAGTAGACTGATGCTTTGGAAACTAGACTACGGTCTCCGATCGCTTTAACTACTTGATTTAGGTACCTTGTATCAAGCATATAATCTCCTGAAAGATGTACGTTATAATCTCTGTAATCATACGAACACGGATTTAAATATCAGCACGCCCACTGGCCCACTCATATCAGGCATTTGTCTACGTTATCGCTGAGTTATCTTCGAGGGTTGACTGGACTTTTGAACTTCACTAAAGAAATGAGATACTACCAAAAGTATGAATTGGATCTCATGTCAAAACTGTCAGCACTACAAAGCCACCTTCTCAGAGGGGCACTTTGTGATTAGACCACCTTTACGACACCTATGAACTGAAAGATAGGTTTGTTGGGAAGTCTGTGGATAATTTCTGTATCATAAAGTAAAGTGATTTATGTATCGTAAAGTCAAGCGAGACAGTGGTGGGTGAGTAGACCGCAGGTAGGCACAGAGCAAATGTGCAAGTTGCTTTGGCAGTGTTTGATGATCTTTCACAGTCAGCTCCAATGGCGCTAAAACTACCAAGGGTTGGAACTACTCCCCAAGGCCTGCATGTCAAACGCCTTCATGATAACACAGGATACTTTGCATCGTCAGATTAAGACTCCAGAGCCTGCTCACGATCTCTCATTTTCTATTGTACTTTCAACTCGTTCTCAAAAGTCTCATCGTAGGATACTATACACTGTGGACTGCCTCCACTCTAGAGGTGTAGACGGCGATCGGTCCAGTTGGTCCAACATTTACTGTACTCTGAGTTGGCCAATGTAGACACTGTGATCCGGTGTGTTTATCTATGCATACTGAGGAAGTCACACACTGCGCCTCTGTAGTTACTGTCCCTCTCTCACTCATCTTCTGAGGAAACTCCGATTAGAGGAGTTCACAAACAGAAGTTGATACTTCTCTTGAGCTCTGGTATATCGTACCGAATGCTGGGTTCCAAGCTACGAGCATACAAGTAAGTATTGGTGGATACGATAATGTGACCGTTAGGTGGTCCCATGGCAGTATCAGTCAAGCTATAGGCACTAGGATTATCCAGGGGAATAATATCCATTGGAATTTGAAAAGCCAAGAAAGAGAACATTTCAACCTTATATCGGTTGGCTTCATTGGGAATTCCGCTGAACATGACGAGAGGTTGACGATCAGATATCTCATCGCTGCCTCGAGAAAGCACTTCATATCTTCTTTGCTTGGCCAGATGAGTTTTATCAGAAAATGACTAATGTGCATGGCATCGTGAGATCAGATATGACCTCACTCACCATGGGTCATCGAAGACCCGTATTCCCATCTACACCTTCGGAGAACCTGTCCATGGTTTCGGTAGCAGTGTATGAGGACTGGTGACTAGGATCGGACCTGGAAGCGATGGCACCGTCCTCACTTCGGTTAGATTTCGAGAAGCTCTTCCTAGTTATGCGGTTCTTCTTTTACCTGGGGCTATCGTTCCTACCTTTCATGACGTCATGCATAACCTTCTACAATCTTGTTTGTTCCCTCCAATTTTTGCTGAATTGCTTTATCTTCGATGTAAGTTTGGCATCACTCAAGGGTCGTGTGAGCCTCGTTCGTGTCTTGCATGTGGTTGGATTGCAAGAAACTACAAACGATGCCTATTCCTGGATTGTTATACTGCTCGTCTCGTGTATTTGTCATCACATGTGGTCGAAAGACATTATTCCTCCGGAGTTCTCGCCTGAAGGAAAACTTCATTATCATAGGGAGGCTCCATCTGCTCGCAGCTTTAGAAGTAGAAGTTTGAGACATCGTAGAAGAGGAATCAATTCTCATCTGGAAAGGCATCGTCGACTAACGGCTTTCTAAGTAAAAGTTGAACCCATCACGTAATGGAATATCTGGGCTGAAAAGTGTGTTCCTGTTTAGCAGTCCTTCCTATTGTTCAACACAAAGCTTCATATAGCGCGCTAGAGATCTGTTAAAGAAAAGTGAAGACTGAAAGCACACTACGTTGAGATCTGAAGTGTTCCAGAGTGAGAAAAAACAAAGCACTGTCTATTGACACATCTTGCTGCATAAATTCATATTGTACATTGGACCCAATGAATATAGTGAAAGTTGTATTTGAACGTCGGTTAGACTGCGACTGATTGGTATTCATAAGCATGCCTGCTAAATATCATTTGATATGGAGGTGTCATGTAAGTCAACTAAGTTTCAATCTATATATTAAGACATATTATTTTATAATGGATGTAGCTGCTGTAATTTGCTTGGTTGCCTTCGGAGAGATGGATGCTCCTTCTTTAGGTCTAACCTAGATGATCTGGGATTGCCGACAATGAGTATCAGACTACTTTAATGCATCTGCTGATCATATTATCTCCCAACTCTATCCAGCAGCCTTGTAAAACTAGTATATGTCTTGAATCCATCTGAGGTAACCGTGATACTTGATTGACTATGTTTCCGAGTCTCTTGATAGGCTTACCATTATAGTAAGGTAGCAGGTTCATATGAAAGTTGATGTCACGTTGGATGCATTTTGCAAAAACTTCATTCACATTTCATCCGATGGAAGCAATCTTGTGGATGAAGAATGATGGCATCTTATACAAAGATACATATTTCAAAGTTTAAATTGCTGTATTTTTCACTTCTGTATTTCAATTGAAATAATCATGGTAGAATGATGGAAAAATTCGGTACCAACGACTTATGGACGTTGTAGATTTTTTGTAGATATTGCAACATCTCCAACTCAAAGTCATCTTCAACTTTATTTATCTTCCTATCTTTCAACCTTAACTTTCGTTAAGGTTTCATTGAGCAATAAGAAAGGGGCAAGTTAATAGCAAAAACGAACGAAGACCCCATCAAGCTCTACAAGGAAGAAAACTAACCGGAAACCAGATAGGCCGATAGCTTACTGTATGCTAGAACAAGGGTTGAAAAGTTTCCATCCAGGTTGAAGTAAACCACAAAACATAGTTTGGGTACATCATAGCTTTCTTCATATTATGAATACTTCTCTTTTATGTTTCTTTTCATAAGTCATTCAAGGATATTGCATCTGAGTAAATTAAATTCTACCTATGTGTTAGAGTATGTTGACTGCTTTTCAGAGTAGAATGCTACAACTAAAGAGAGCCAAGAAATTTCAAATGATCTGGTTTATAATTAGAAACGGATGCACATTGATCCTTCCCGGGCGGTTTGGATAATGCGTCGCTTACATCATCTTGCCTTTCTCAGGGCTACGGCATCCGCAGTCAAATGAAAAGGGTAATGCAAAGTTAAAGTAGGTACGTAATGAAACATATCATAAGAGGAGCAAAATCATTACACCAAAAAACGATTTTAGTAGCAAAGATTATAAAAGTAACTAAATCATCCAAAATACACATGAAATTTATTGAAATTCAATCCATGTATGCATTCCAGACAACAAACAGATGGTTTAGGAAAGGTGGGAATCAGAAAGATATTGAATAAAGTCCAGTCTTATATTTCAGTTGGAGGATTTCAGGGAGTTTTCATAACGAAAGCCAGGACTGGAACTTTATTTTCATCATCACGAGAGGCTAAGTTAATGGACAGACTTAATTAACTGGATAATTAGTCTTAGATTTCTTGGACTTTAAATATAATTAGATGCTTTGATCAATAGATCAGAAAATTTTATTTTGATAAAATAAGCTTTTATTCAGATTATATATTATATGCAAACTTGTTAGGAATAAAGAGATATGGTATACACAGGATTTAAAAGTATAAATAAAATATGTAATACTTCATCCGCATTCATCCGCGTTTGTAGTCCGACGGTTAGGATAATTGCCTTCCAAGCAATAGACCCGGGTTCGACTCCCGGCAGACGCACATTTTTTCTTATCAAATTTAGTTCAATTGTGCTCCTAGTTCCTTCTCTCAGCCCTTTTCTAATCAAATTTAGTTCAATTGTGCTCCTAGTTCCTTCTCTCAGTCCTTTTCTAACCAGGATGTGGAATTATCGGACCACAATATTCAAATACTTTCACGTACACAAACTACTCTCGATTATAATAGTTTACTTATAATATAATTGTCAATATTATTAACATAAAATTCGGAAATTTTCATATCCCGGTGAGTAGTTTAAAAAACGTCGGACAACAGGGCCAGGTTCTGACGAATCCTTGCTCTGGGTAACCTTCCAGTGAGGGGCATTTGATCTGGACTACCTTCATAAGCTAACCCGAACTTCGAAGAAATTCGGGTTCCGATTGTCCCCTCCCCATGGACTCCGAAAGAGAGCATTCTTCTCGCTCGTGCAGTTCAATTGTTTTCTCTAAGCTCCTGAGACTCAAATTTAGGATGATTCGTGTAAATCTATCCTCAACAGTTGTAGTTCGATGCTGTGCAAGTACTGCAAAGTGAATATACACGCATCTACTCTTGACTCTATCTGAATTCGATTGTGATCAGATTGTAACAACGTCAAAATATCAAATTTCCTCGACTTGTTACGCATTTTGCGCATACCTCAGGTATGTCAGACGGCTATCAGAGATTCCACACCTCATTTTATCCACGCGCTTCCCATGGAGCTCTGACTTCGTCTTGAAAGAAAACACTAAGAATCTGCATATGAGCCAGGAGGTGGATCTATGAAGGAACTCAACTGAACTGGATCCCAGAGTACTTTTGGTCCAGAAAGGAATACATTATAGACGACCAGACATCTGTCCACAATGAGAAATACTCGTCAATTGTCTCATCTTATGGACTTAGATTGGTCTCTACTTTCCTGTTTTTAGACAAAATCACACTGCCCGCCTGCCAGGTTCCCCCTTCCTTCTCCATTCCCACAGAGAGCGCTTGGCCCCAGGGCTATAATTTAATGAGCTTCATTCCATGATAAAAGTGGGGCAGAGCTGTTGCGGGGAGTAGAATAGAATAGACTCCAGGAATTCTGTTTCAAGTATGGGGTCGCCGTCTACCCTTGCTGCACTTCCTTGGATACTTGGTTCTCTATGAATTATCAAATTACTAGGTAAATCAAACATCAAAATTTCTAAATGAATTCATGAAGAGACGGACATCACATTGCCCTTCTAACAGCGACACCTGAGTGACAGCATCGCATTCTGGAATTGATAGTAAGCTGTTCGTGCCAAAGGAAATATTGAATAAGTGGAGACCAGTGTATCTACTGTAGTCGTACAGCTTTCTTCGATTTTCTACATGTAAGACGATCAGCTGGTCCGATTGTCACACGCTGATACCAGTAGAGTGGTACTGGCGGTCTAAGTCATAACAATCTCCCTTTGAAGTAACACATATGGGGCTGGATACAGGGACTTATACCTCTGGCAAGAGGACGTGTTCAGCTGAAGATGCGCATTTATTTTCGCTTTGCAGTACTTGCACAGTAGCAACTACAACTGTTGAGAAAAAAATTACTCATATCATCCTGAATTTGAGTCTCAGTAGCTTAGAGAAAACAACTGTATTCTATGAACGAAAAGAATTATTTTTCTCGGAGTCCACGGGGGAGGAAATCACGGGAATTCCTTCGAAGCTCGAGTATGCGTGGGAAGGAAGTTCAGATCGAAAGCCTCTCGATGGAAGGTTACTTACAGCAAGGATTCGTCAAAACCTGGCCCTGCTGTCCAAAGATTTTGCTCCGACTCACACGGAGAAAAGCACTAGACAGAACTTCAAGCAACCAACCCGACCCGCATGCAACCTTCCCTCTCGACCGCTTGTGATGTCACGAGGCGAAGTGAGGGGGCTATCTCTGCGGCTCACTTTCTGGGCTTTTTTTGGATCTTCAGGGAGTATATATTCTCATTCTGCGAGACTTTCTACATCAATCAAAATCTTCTGGACTCAAGCTTCTCCCTCACTCTCAAGTCGAGAAGCTTGAATTAGGAGATCAAGTTCAAGTTGCTGTGAAGACAGGTTTTCATCAAGCTGTATGTTCTGATAGTAGTTACAATGAAATTGAGTTTCATTCTACTGGTTTTGGCTGCCACATCCATAGCTGTTGTGCAGGGATCGAAGTTTTGGGATGACTTTTACGTCAATTTTGGAGATTGCAATGTGCAGTATCCAGGATATGATACCGGAAGTACCATTGCTTTGGGCTTAGACAACACAACTGGTACTGTTCCTGCTCTTGAAGTGATGATCAACGTGTTCTGTTGAATGTTTTGTTCATTTGCCTGAACCATCCCTTGTCATGCATTTCGCATGAATTTCAAGTCTTAAGCTTTTCAGTCTGAATTCCTTTGTTTTCAGGATCGGGATTCCAGTCCAAGTATCCTTACTTGTATGGGAACCTCTCCATGAAGCTCAAGCTAGTTGGAGGAGACTCTGCCGGAACTGTTACTTCCTATTATGTGAGTAATATCTGCTGTAAACTGATGCTCACCTGCTCAAGTCCACGATGTCACGTGAAAATTCTTCCCTGCTGAGTAGAACAGGCCTATACTTTGTTTGAATTATATCGATTTAGTTCCTCTGAAACGATCTGAATCCAGAGCTTCAAATCGACAGTATCTATTCTGAAGCTAACGCTTATATAGCCTGTCGTGTCCAATGCAGCTTATGCAATGTATTTATTATAAGATACTGACAGTTATAACTTCATGTATGTCAATCCAATGCAGATGGCTTCCGAAAGAACACAGTTTCCGAAGTGGTGTGAGCTAGATTTTGAATTCTTGGGTAATGCTTCCGGAGAGCCTTACATTCTGCAGACCAATGTGTTCTCTGAAGGAGTAGGAAACAGGGAGCAACGTATCTACCTGTGGTTCGATCCCACTGCTGACTACCATGAGTACGGTATCCTGTGGAACCAGGACCTCATTTTGTAAGTATTCGTGCAGACAGTAAACTATCTTCATCCTTCATTTTTCGAATGTGGTCATTAAGCCATCGACAACGTTAAACTGATTAAATGCTTCACTGGGTCCACCCTTCTCTCTAAACTGACGTCTGTACCAATACTTCTGCAGGTTTTTGGTCGACAACCGCGTCATCAGGGTCTTCCACAACGCAGCTGATCTCGGAATTCCTTATTTGGATTATCAACCAATGTACATATATTCCAGCATCTGGAATGGAGAATCGTGGGCGACTTGTGGTGGTGGAGTGAAAACCGACTGGAGCCTTCAGCCTTTCCTTGCATCTTACACAAATTTCAACGTTTGGAATGCTTGTGAAATGAGGGACACCACAGTGAGCTCTTCACATGCTTGCTATGAGAAGTTGTACACCAGCTCATATGGTCAGGCCCCCAACCTAGCTCTGACACAAGCTCAGATTGACGATCTGAGATGGATTAAGAACGGTTATGTGATCTACGATTACTGCACCGATCTGAAGAGATTCAACTGGACCGCTCCCCCAGAGTGTGCTAGAAACTGGCCTTAGAATTATAGATTGGAACATTCTTGATAACTCTAGGAATTTAAATACCATTCTTTTCATCACCTACAATTAACAATTTTCCAACCACCCGTAGATACATCAGTGTGTGATGACTTAGTATTTGGAGGGTAGTTGGAGGATAGTTTGAATCAATCAAAGACGTCAGTTCCTGCAGACATCTTGATGTCTCTGGAGGTATAATGTCTGTCGAGTTACCGAGAACATATGTGAATTTATTTTTGTCCAAGATGACAATAAAGACCATGTTCAATGGCCAAAGATTTCAAAAATATCGTTGAATCATGCATGTCATGGGCGTGTTGGTTGTACGTCTTTGTTAAAAGAAAAATCGTATGGGCGAAGGACAGGATAAGTTTTTCAAGCTGACGAAATAAACCAGTGGCGAAGGCGGTTGCCCGATATCTTGGAATGCAATAAAGCTTTAGCACAAGGTTCATAATGATGTCCGAAAGAACTCATGATGAGTTCTTTGGGCAGTGAAATATGTGAAACCTTCTGTCGAACAAATATATCGTTTGCTTATTTATCCAACAGAGATAAATTTTCGGAATTACAGTGTTGCAATCTGTCCATAGATGAGACTAGGAGCTCAAGTGTGTCCCATCTATATTAAATTTCTTCAACCATCCACATATCACCCAGCATACACTGAACTGGCATTGTACGTGCCAATAGTTTACCCAATTAAACTGAACGAACTGGCAACAAACAAGCATTTGAGAACCGAATAAATTCCAGACTTAGGAAGCCTCAATACATCATAGCGAATTGACGGCAATATCACTGAAGCAACATTTGCATTCCTTTGATGGCTTTTCTTCTTTGATAGGTCATCACACCAACTATGAGAAATAGCTTTCACATTCTTAGAGCTTCCAATTCCAGTGCAGATAAACTATCTTGTCTTTGCAAATAGTATACATGCTTTGTCCAAGGAAGTAAATGAAGAGGAAGTCCAAATTGATTTGTAGCAGTAATATATAGCAGCGTCACTGTTGAACAAGGGGGCGCTATTATCCTAGAATTCGTTGCGTACGGGGATCTTGAACCTGTAATTCGTCATCTCGGGTACGCAAAAGCCTCCCCCCCGGTCTCGACCTTCGGACCTCGAAATATAGAACAGGCAGTTTTTTTCTACTTGAACAAAATATGGCAACACATATATCTCATCTGTGAGATGACTTGATGTAAAGATTGATGAAGCTACATTGGAATTTCAGGGTTTGTCAAGATCAAAGTCTTTATCTTTTACTAAACTAAAAATCATATTCAGAAATAAATATGAACGTTCTTACAAAGATGGAGTATTATGCCTCGCCTCTTGCTTTTGCATGCTTACAAAGTGTCTCCGACATTCTCTCGGTGAGAGGTCAAGTTGACATCCACCGACTCAGGCAGGGCTGATCTTGGCTGTATCGAGTAGAGTGACAGACTTCATGCACTGTCGTGTTACGGATCTACCTTCTCCCAGTTGAGAGAAGTGGAGGCTTACTCACTAACATTCCTCTCTGTAGGTCGTGGAGAAGCTTGGAAGATTCATCCTGTCTAGTTCGACCTAAAGCACGTCGGACGATGTTCGCAACTTGTTAAGTTTGGGTATTAACCCAATTTAGATGAGATAGTATGTGGAAAAGTATGACCCTTAAGGCTTTGCCAAAAGGCATAACGAATCTCAAGGTCTAGCTCAGGCCGGTGAAATCAGTGGCCAAGTCCTTCGCTAGGAACCCGTTCCAGTTAATGTGCTTGTTGGTACTTACAACTCATCTATAAGCCACATCGTTCCGTTTGGTGCGTTTGTTGGTCTGAATAGCATATATTTAGGCTAAAGCTTTCTGTTCGAAATGATCCTTGATTACAACTAAGTGAGATAAATCGCATTTTTATTTATGATAATTTTTTTAAGGACCAGATGAAATTCGAAAAGATGTACTAGATTGCTAGAAAGTTTCTATACCGTTCTCACAGGAAACATCATCTATCTCAATTTCAGAACCTTATCCCCAACTCGTTCACTTAATTAAGGCTATATTTTAAGATTCCTAACTATTTTTTAATTCTTGAGTTCACATCCTAAACTCTAACTCTTTCTGTCGGAATTCAAGATGTCTTCATTCATGAGCGAATATTGAAGAACAATTTCGTTTTTAACTTCTGGAAATGCTCACAACAACTGCGCCTTGTGAAGATGACTTTTCAGTTGCATCGTTTGTTGCGATTTTGCCCAAACACCGGAGCTGAAATACTTGTTGAGAGACTTCATTCACCGATTAGCTCAAGAAGTTGATAAGTGTCGTATCTTACAGGGTGTGGTTTTGGACTATTTAAACGCTGTTTTTCATTCTGTTAACAAACATGGTGACAGTATTTTCAGTTACATAGACAAATTGAAAAGTGAAATATTTAAACATAGATTTTTAAATGATACTGTTGTGCAGTCGAGTGCTTTTGAATATTCATCTTATTTGGATGTTCTTCCAAGTGGATGTTGAAATGATTATAAGAATGTCTCAAATGCATATGTAAAGAGCTAAAGTAGATTAATAGACATATATTGAGACTAAATTTTATCTTGTAACATCGCACATGTTTTATCTTATAGCCTATTTTTACATAATATTGAGTTCTTTGTTTTACAATCAATTTTTGAAATTTCAATTTGAAATAATTTTTTTTTTCATTTTTCATTATAGACTTTTCATTTATATTATTCAAGTCATTTTGGGCTATGTGTTCAGCATATGTTTTGACTAAACTCAAATTACACATAATTTATAAAATATAATATATATATTTTAGTATTGAAATCATATGAAAACCTTTGCTTGTTTTTATAAAAGTTCCAATTATTGTAACAACTTTGAAAATCATATTTGGATCAAAAGCTGAATGTTAGATTTTTTTTTCATAAAAGTATTGAGAATCAACACAAATTTTGGTCAATCTGCGCCAGTCATGCTTTTGTAGTGTATATGGATGTCTGCAGTTTGAAGAAATAAATAACTTCTTAATTTTGATTTAATCAATTTCAGATCAATACCACCTCTCCTATATGATAGACTTATGGAACTTATACCTGTAAAATTTTAGTACCGAAGTATGAATTACCTTAGCTAGGTTAAAGACTACTTGAGAGGGCAAATGTACGTTTGTTGCCTTGTCACATAGTTTACGGAAAGTGCAATAAATTTAGAAAGACTAGGTTTATAAAGTTGATACAACTGTAGGAGGAATGAGCTACTTGGGCTTTTATTTCAGTTTTTTCTAAACGCTGTAACAATGCTGCCTTCAGTTTGCTACGACTGCTTTGAATCCAAATGTGCTAAACAGAGGCCCAATTGAAAAGGCACAAATGCACAAAAATAAATTATGGAACAGAGAAGAGTTTTTTAATTCTTTCATAGTTTAAGCGACTAATTTTGGAAAATTGTACCCAAGTGTTTCGAAACAATGTACAGCAGTCAACACGAGAGCTATATCCAATTTCGTGAGGAACTATATTAACAAATTTTCCTCTTTACTTACTCGACAATATCGACAGTTTTCATCCTATAAACAATCCGATTCTGCACATAATTTCGGCTCTAAAAAATTACACTCTTGAAAGTTATACCGTTTAGCGATATAGCTGTCTCTCGGTCGATGGGGGTTTTTTTGTCAACCGTATTGGTCGCCAGGTCTTTATTTGAGCTAAAGTAGGGAGACAAAAATCTTCTCAGCGGTCAGAAAATTATCGGCAGCATCTGAATTTAGCAAAAGCGTAGCGATATTGCTTCTGGTAGTAGTTTCGGAAGGAATCCCTTTTGAGTGAGGGATGAGTGACAGGCGACGATCCTTTCAGCACAAAATGCTTGCCGTCGAAGAAATCAGCAGAATATTCAGGATACTCTGACATGGGCTCGAATCCCGGAAATCCTTGGAATGGTGTGCTTGTCCACTCGTAACCACCGGCTCTCATTTGCAGGACTAACTCTGCGGCAGGATCCACATCCAACACCCTCTGATACTCTGCTTCCGAGAATACTCTGCATCCCAACCACTTGCAGAAAGCTTCTGCCTCGGACAAACTAACGAACACCGGCTGATTTGCGACCTTGGACCAGTGATTAGTGGACTGAAACTCGTGGACGAAAAATTCCTTCTCCACAAGAGACCACGTCGCTGGATACTTGTAGCCTTTCTCCTGGAAGTGAGCGAAGTCTTCGGCGTCCCATAATTTCTCGTTCTCGTACCCTCCTTCTTTGACAAACCTGTGAAAATCCCCGACGGAAACGGGCCTGCTACTGACCCAAAAAGTGCTCGACGTGCTGGTACAAAATTGGGGGTACTCATTGTCCCACATGAATCCAGTTTCTTTCGGATCAGATCCCAGAACCACCGGACCTGCTTCGATGGTTACCATTTTGGATTTGGCTAGAGCGTTGATGATGGACATGGTGGAAGGGGGATCGATCGAGCTGATATGAGTGGGCGGCAGCTGTGCAGCAGTCACAGCCGCCATGGTCTTTTCGAAGGCAGCTTTTCTGTCTTGCGTCATCATGTATGAGAGAGTTTCCTGATGCATCCGCTCGTGCTCCAGCGCGAAGGTGATGAGCTTATGGTTCCCTTTGAACTGTCCTGCGTGAAGAGCTTTCAAAATCTTCTTTCTAGTGGCACTGACATAGGCGACGATTTGATCTCGGGAAGGCCATTCAGCTGGTGTTTCCGGACGACTATGGCATTGAGAAGGATCGAGGATGAGTGGGTCCATCCCTCTTGAAAACATGATGTCTATGTCTTCAGCAGGCTCGTCGGCGAATAGTTTTAGCTTTGCGAAAGCAGCAAGGTGACCACTGCACACGCCATAGCACATACCACGCCCAGCCTTGTCAGACTTTGATCCTCACTCACTTCCACATTTCACCAGAATGCAGAACAGACCTGGAAACAGTCATCGTGTGAAGTTTTGTTTGTTTGGGTCTCGCATTCCAGATACATTGTCTACTGAATGACTTGTACATGTCGAAGAGAAAAATTGTTGGTGGAAAACTGATCTTCGTAGGAGGAACGGGGATTCCTCTCCGACAAAGTACGTGAGAAGATAACATGAAGTGGGACAAAAACAAAAAAATGGTCTGAGCACACACACTTCCTGGTCTCAAATCGTCTAACATGCTTCTTCAACTCCTCTCACAAGACAATACGAAGAACCTCGAGTCTGAAGAAACTACTCAGGGAATTTCGACGCGCAATTCGAAGCACATGGTAAGGTTCGCATAATTTCCAAGCAGATTTGGTAAAAATGAATCGAGCACGTACTAGTAAAAGCAAAATGGATGTCGGGTATCGATGGGCTTCAAACTCCAATCCAGTATACCCTCGAACAAAACATCGGTATCCTGCCAGCACTGAGTGATGGCTTCAGCTTCATCCAGCAGCATTTGACAGCCATAGGTCTGGTTGTGCCATGCCGACTGTAGATGGAAACCTACATTCTCAGTCATTTTCTGAATAGACTCACGGGTAAATTTCCTCGAGATCTCCATCAACACTCTCTCTCCCGGTCTGCCACAGTTCCATATATACAGCACGAAGGACTTAATCAACAGGTGAAGCAGTGGAAGCTGCCAAGTAAACACCTACTACCGAGTATACCTATTGGCTTACGATGCTCCCAATACCGAACAATGTGGTGGCATGGACTGGTCAAAGAGACAGGTAGAGCACAACGAAGTACTTGCATGAGATCCATATGGTCAAAATGTGCTCACCTTATGTGGATTCCATGCTCAGGGACAGCGAGGCCTTGGGGAAACCTGAGGTACATTTCGACCTGCTTAAGCTGCTTGTTTATGTCCACTTCATAGACCGACGACAGCTCTTCGGCTGTCGAGGCTTCATGGCCCAGAATACGAAGCGCATGACTCATGCCATTTCTTATAAATGCCTCTGTGACGCCATGCTTATCTTGATACGCATCACGCAGGATTTCTTCCTTCTTCCACATGTCTGCAAACAAAAAATAGTAAAACATCTCAGCTATGGTCTCGGATGACAGGTGCGCCGCCGCTGTGGAATGTGCGTTGACTCATTCCTCGACAAGGGCATCACGCCAGCAGCTTGACCTCAAAACTTGTCTCCAGGTCACCTAGTTTTGCAAGTTGTGTAATGGACCCACACGCTCAATCACAGCTTACCGGTACAGAGAAAGAGCCGACAGCGTGATTTCACTGCATCCAGAATGTCCCCAAAGAAGTGAATGGCATCTTTTTGCGAAACATTGCCCACTCCACTGCCCAGCCAGACTACACACAGCGACTCATTTGGATACTTGGCTCTAACTTGCGCCAGGCCTCCGATGTAATCAGCAGGCACAAGATCTACTGTCAGATGGCCCTGAACTAAGAGCATCAAGTTACAGCGTGCCTCGTTCAGGAAAGACTCGGAAACATCAATTCCTACGAACCGGCATCTGCAAAAAAGTCACAGGGTAATGTCACTGTGACAATCTTCACCACAATTCCCATCTCTCCACATTCATAATTTTTAAGCAGAGCTCCTGCGAGGCATGTGTCCTCCTTACCTCCCATGGCGAGCTATCAGAGCATTGAGAAGATGGGCTGTCTTAACCGCAGAACCGCACCCAAGCTCCACGATAAGACTTCCATCGGGGATGTGGTTAGTGATATCTTCGACAAATTCATTCAAAAGATCAATTTCCGCCCTGAAGGGATAGTACTCTTCGAGTTGGGTGATGGACTCGTACAGCTCAGATCCCCTGTCATCGTAGAGAAAGCGATATGGGACCTCTTTGTCCGACGTTCTGCACAAGCCGTCCACGATGATCTCTTGCAAGCCAATATCGTTATCGTCAGGGTCTGTTGTACCATTTTCGTGTTGCGACTGCTCATTAAGGGAGCTGACCACGCCATTCTGCTCCACATACTTCGACTGCAATTGAGATTTCAAATCTGCTATAGAGTCCAGCAGCTCTCCTGATTGACGTCCATACTCATAAGGCGAGGGAACTTCTGCATCCCAAACAGGCGGCATCCTGATGTTTGCTTTCTGCCTGAGATCTGTAGAGACAACCAACCAGCAGCAGGAAATCTCGATTGTCAATTCATTCTCATCGGCTGTAACAGTGTCCACCTCTAAGATAAGATGCGTAATCGCAACCGTCAAGAGTATCTCGACGTGGAATTACACAACGTGCAATGCTCCAGTTGTCGAAAGCTTATTCATCTCTGTATCAGTTCTCAACTTCTCGTCGGTTCAGCACATGAAAAATGCGTACTGATTGCATGGACGGATATTCTAAAATGCACGAATAACAATCTTGGCATGCGAGGAATATGTACGACATGATGGTAATTCAGGCAGATGGCGGATATGTCCAAATCTTGATCCACAAAAGATCTTCCAACAAAAAGCTAAAGTTTTCAGAAATGACCCATGTAAGCAGAAGTATCATGTACTCATCTCAACACAGCTTCAGGGACTGAATTCTTACGTAGTGCAATTTTCAGCTTCTGGCAACAGCGTACGGATTCAAGTACACACGCACACACAACGAATGCCTGCACAGTTGGTGTCCCGCAACTGGAAATCACATGAAATTTAACATGAGAAGCACTTGTCAGTGAGATAAAGGTCAGTCTCAGCCTCCAGTGAGAAGTTGCCACTTCTTTCTTCACGTGGCTTCACGACCAATTCTGATGACAAGCCCGGGGCCAATTTCAGCGGTTTACTTGTTGGCAAGTTTCGAATGTCCGAGTATGTTCGAAGTCGGTGGATGGCTCTACGGAGCAGATGAGTAAGACCAGCTGCACTAGCTCTCGTAAACTCACCACTACATCTCCAGCGTCACATCTGCACATTCCCAAGTTGTTTGTCTGGATGAAGAATGACAGACAAGCTTACAGATCTACATGGAAAGCATTGCATGTCCTGACACTCGGCATGGATCCATAGACTTGTACTCGAAGACACTTTTACTGCCACACAAGGCAAATGATCATAGGCCGATCGTAGCTAATCTTGCCCAATCGAGCTCTTTCCATCTAGTGGTGCTTGACTCCGGAGTCTAGCTTGAGACTTCAAGCTTCTCTATACAATCTCCGACTTCCCCTGCCGTCAGTAGAAAGCGCAATACAGTAAAACCTAGTTAGAGTGAAATGATTAGTTAAAACTTCGATTAAGGGGATCACCAGTTGTGAGTAGAAGCTCGTAAAAGGATACATATGAAAAGAATTCACAATGTGAATTCTTTTAAAAGAATTCGTTCAAGTATGTTAAAAGTAAATTTCATGTCCACTGTTTTTACTGCACAATGCATAAAACGTTAAAACGTTGAGCACTTTCAGTTTAGTTTCAATTTTGTCTTCAGTTGTTTTAACAGACATCACTTTGACAATGGTATTTTACAAATATCTGAAAGATGCATACATATTATTTTTAATCGATTCAAGTTTGAACATATGTATCAGAAATTGATAAGGAAAAAATCATATATATTTTTTCTATATTTCCCAATGAATTTTTTCTACTTTTCTAAATTGAAACTCTCTAAAAAAAATTTTCAAAGCCTCTTTGATAAATACATTTATGACTGAAAATTTCTTGAAAAAAAAGCGTCTTTTTTTTCATTTTTTTTTTTTCAAATCATGCCAAATGAAGATTCTTAAAATTCAGATTTAGAGGTATACGACGAATCCAATTAGAATTAGAATTTGCTTGAAATATTCTGATAGAATTTCAACAACGTAAATAGATGACAATGTAGTGTACATAAGATACATAAAATTTAACACAAGAATTATAACTTTTAATATTTTTATGAATATATATGTCATATATACGTTTTTGCAAAAAAAAACACGTAGGTATATTAACATAAGTAGAAAGTTTTTTGTATACTTTTCATTTCAACTTGTTTTTTGATATAAAAATCAAATCTAATTGACAATGCTCTTATTTCAATTTTAGTATGTGATATTTAAAATTTATAATTATATTGCAATTTTTTTCAACACTTCTATATCTCGTTACAAAAATTTGAAAAAAGAATATTTTTAGAGTTAAATTTTATGTATCTTATGTAAAATACATAGTAATCTATTTACGTTGTTGAAATTCTATTCAAATATTTCAAGCAAATTAACATTCTAATTAGGTTCATCGTATACCTTTAAATCTGAATTTATAAAATCTTCATTTGGCATGATTTGTGAAAAAAAAAGACGCTTTTTTTTCAAGAAATTTTTCAAGTAATTGAAAAAAAAAAACTTGAAGCTATGATATCTTACGTGTATATGTACTAATGTTTTGTACGCAATGTACGCAATGTATGTTTTGTACGCAATGTACGCAAAAATAAGCTCAATAACTTGACAACAAGAATAAGTTCAAAATTGATCAATTTCATAATTGAATTATCATTTTAGATAAATATCGATAAAAAAATTATTACATTTATCAGAATGAATTAAAATATGTCTACAATTTTCACATGTTTATAACATAATGTCTAAAAATAACATGTTCATGCTATAAACATGCAAAATGAATGCATTATTTTACACTTGCTACATTGCTACTGCAATTGATGATAACACGTAATATACACTTGTCATCATTATTGATCATAATATAAACTGTATGCTAGTGTTTATGTATGTTATATCAAGGAATATTTTACAACTCTAATATGTCAAAAATGTTTTTGGACTTAGAGATTTTAGCTCATAGCATGATTAAACTGTGTACTTACAACATAATCAAGATCATGCACTGAGTCAAATGAACAATGTAATGTTCAACAAAATTTTATGCTCTAGCAATGAAACATATTAAAAAAATATTTGATATTGTAAAGTGCCAACTATGATAGTTATGTAACTTTTATATTACTTATGACTACGCATGTTATAATTAAAAAACCTTTGAGATTTTGTTTTTCTTTGTATATAAATATACTTTCACTATCCATCATCATATTTATTATAAATTTACAAAAAAAATATGATACATACATTTCATACTTAACATATATTCAAACAATAGTAATTATGTTCAAAAAAAATCTCATGTTCTAGCAATGGAACATGTTAAAATATATCTGATATTGTAAAGTGCCAACTATGATAGTTATATAACATTTATATCATTTATTACGAGGCATGCTATAATTAGATTAGCTTTAAACTTTTATTTTTCTTTGTATAAAAATATTGTTTCCAATTGTGCCATCCAATTGTTTCACTATACATCATCATATTATAAAAAAACTTAGATAATTGATATATATTCTATAATCTTATTGAAAATAATTTGTGATATCATGAACATTACATATGTGTTCATTATAATGCAACATATTACTTGAATGAATTGGATGGCATAAAGCTTAGATTTGATTTTCGAAAAACACTTTGAAATTCAAGAACTTCAAATGTTGGGATAACAATATTAAGTTTCATGATTTTGAGCAAATTTTACTTTTAACGAAGATCAAATCTAAGCTTTTTTATGAAGAGTATGCCGCTTCATGAAACTATCAAATTGATCTAATATCGGGGTGTAAGTTTTTTGGTTGACTTTAGTTGCATACTTGAAAATTCATTTAATTACACAGGCTGCATATGAAATATTTGCATAGAAAACTAAAGACAAAAATATTTTTTTTGGCGATTGATATGACTATACAATATTAGGTTTTAAATTTAAGTTTAATTCAATGTGCAGTCGTGTAGACTTTTTGTTTGAATCAACTTCGAGTAATCAAAATAATAGTAAAATCTTTGAAAGATATTATCTTAGATATTGTTGCATATAGATTATGGAAGATGAGAATGAGATGTGAAAAATAGAACATCATCTGCTGAAAATCCATTCTATTGGAATGAAGATGAAGTGAAAAATGATTACAGTAAATAAAAAAGAAATAAAATACATATAATAATGATAAAAAAATTTCATTGCAATCAATTAAGGTGTATGAAGATACCATATTATAATTTATTTTTAGAAATTAACTTCAAAACTTACTGTCATTATTATCTATGATATGATATAACACATGAATTTGTATACTGTACTTTATATTATTAAAAAATGGCATATGAGCAATACAATATACAGTGTATGCTACTTTATAATTAGTTCTTTACCATGAATACACATGTTTAGTTTAAATTCAAATGCATTTTTTTTAAAATATTACCAATTTAAATTATTAAATTTTGGAATTTGTAACTTTACGGTTGATCAGTGTATGGTTGTACAATTCTAAACTATAAGTAGTATTATGGACCCTATCCTACCGTAAAAATACAATAACATGAAAAGAATGCACATTATCAGTTTGATCTCTTCAATTCAAACTTCAAACTTTTCAAAATCAACACTTTCTTTATAACTTTGCTGTTATGAGGGGCCTAGGTGTGGGAGTTTAATGAACAGGCTCAAACGGCTGTACTCGACTGATTTCAGCACACAGAAGAGAACAATTAAGTGAACAAGTGGTGAAGTTTGAGGACCCATGCCCTTTGAACATTTGAAGGTCCAGATTCTATTTCCAGGTACTCTAGGAGAGTTGCTTCACTGTGCCGGACTAGCCCAAGGCATTCATCGACCGGATATCGCTCGAAGAATCAAACCGTCACTGCACATGGGAGTTTACAGTAGGAAGGAACCAGATAATAAACAGGACCCTCACCAATCAGGCTATCGATGGATCATGCACAATGTTCATCCTCATAGATCTGATCCATCAGATCCGAGTCCAGTACTGCTTTCAAATTTAGTGCGCAGTCAGTCGGATACACCAAGTTCGCGCAATAACATGCACTGCACGGGATCAGAATAAATATTTCAATTCATGCAAGTCCATCTGCATCCAAACTTTGTGCCATGCAGTGCAAATACTAAGGAGTCTTGATCGACCAGATCGTCGTTTCCGTCATGACGTCGCCCTTGGATGAATTTTGACTGGATCTTCTAGCAATTACCATGGATGATGTCATCTGGTAGCTCGGTCTAGTAGGTCGTCGACGGCTGAACATAGCCTACCTTGCACTCCTTTAACACATTTAACACGTTGGCTCTACGATATAACGATGAGGCGGAACAACCTCTATCGAACAGTCTTTAGGAAGAAGTTTCGGTCTTTCTCTACTTGACCCTTTACTGAGCTGATCTGTTCTGATACGCCATCCAACTCGTGCCCGTAGTTCCAGCACCAGCAATGTGCGTTGAAAACTTACACTGCACTCCCAACTAGATGTGTTTCGAGACTTCTCGAGAGCACCAATGCAAACGATGGGATCACACGGGGAGCTTGAAAACCTGGCTCCAACGTTAAGGTATGAGACATTACCCGTTTGATACGACGATGTCTGATCGGTGAACCGCTTCAAAGGCATCAACTTTATATGGTACTCGAGATCTGGTGCCATGGACTTCGACTCCTGAATATGACCTTTCATTTCTTCTTCTATGTGGATATCATCGGCTACTATTAATACCTTGGAACTTTGCGTAGATGACGCTTACTCTACACTGTCTGTATTCGCATTTCACCATTTTGTGGCAGATATTGAGTGGTTCGCGTCATGATCAGACTGACGGAAGAAAGAGCGATGACGATTAGATTGTTAGGAGATAATTGCATTTTATATTTATATACGGATTAGAGACATTTTCTTCAGACTACTCTTTGAAGAGGATGGTTAAAGAATGGACCAGGCACGTCATGGAAAATGTCCATGAACGAATAGAGGACAATCGGAACTTTGTTTTCGGCAATGGGAGGTTTCAAACAGGAAGATAGTTGTGTCGAACAACTAAGAATCGATCGTTTCCATTGTGATGGGGTAATTCTCAAATGAGAGATGGCATTCGGAATTTAAGTTGTAATTGGTGCCAATATGTACGGTTAACTGATTTGATTGAACGTATTTTCATACTTTCATAGTTTATAGATTGCACACAATTGAGAATTAAAAAAAAAAAATTGGATGTTGGTTCCACTGGTATGCATGTTTAACCTTATATTTTTCAATAACATATTAGGGATAAATTCTAGTTTCTCTTGAAATTTGTGAAGTTTCAAAAACAAAAAAAATAATATGCTGAAGATAAATCTATTCAAATTACTCGCAAGAGAAATACGAAATAGCCTTCTACATCCACACACTTGAACTTGATTAGAAAAAATTATTGAATGAAATATTGAATAAAAGTTTCGAGAGATGGTATTTCAACATTTTGCGCCAGCAAAATTTTGTATCATATTTTTCAATTAATATTCTTCAAGTTTGCAACAAGCCGATAATTATATAAATTCATTGAATTGATGATAGATTTCTCGTCTATCTTTTCTAACAAAATAAATATAGATTTTTTTATATAGTTTACACAATAATTGAAACTTAAACTCTATAGAATAAAAAATGATATCAACATTACATTATATTAAAAAAAAACATATGTACATTCTGACATATTTGGCATGTTCATGTTGTTAGGAACTAGTCAGATTTTTTGTATTATATTCATCTATGTTCTCACATCACAGAAAATATAGTATGCACTTTTCCCACTGTCTAATATCAAATGTAGTTGCTAGATTTCACGGATTAGTACCATGAATACGTTTACAATCCATTTTACCACATATGTTAGGTTTATACCTTTTTCACAAGTTAATTCAAGTTTCTATTTCGCTGCCGAATTCTCTGAAGATTTATGTAATTCGTATGCAATATAAATTGCATACGAATTTAGTGTTTTTTTTCCGACATTTGTGGACTAAAAGTTTTTACTTTTCATGATTCAGAGGATCTTGCAAAGCAACCATTCTTACTGTAAAAAGTGACCTGAAGAAACCATTAGGTCATCCACTTACTTGCGTTAATGAGAAAGTAAGCTTTTCTTCCAATAGTTTGAGTTATTGGAAATAGTACCTGTCTTGGAAAGAGTGCTATTGAATCTACAACAAAGATCTACAGGTGATAAAGACAACTGTAATATCAAAATTCATGTAAAACTATGACATGAATTAGGTTTATCTTTGTTCATCAAGAGGATTTGATGCTACTTTGTGATTGTTCAAACCTTGACTTACTAAATTACATTGAAATAACGTTTTAACAGAAATTGACGCAACAAGCTCCAATCAAGTATTGATTTCGAATGCTATTATAGTTTAGTCTATCATATATAACTTGGTGAATTACATAGATTCTAATGTCAGATGGGGCTATTGATGATCACTTTGGGCAACAGGTTTCCTCCTACTTCGGTTTCATTTTGCCATCATTTCGAAAGAGAGGAAAATTAAGTAGTTCGGTTCATTAGTTATTTCCATAACCTAGAAGAGCTCGACTTTCCTCCCATACAAGAACGAGGCAGCATAACAGTGCCACAATATATTGACCAAACGATCCATGACAAGCAGTCAAACACTACATACAAGGTATGGGCTTACATGTACAGCACCATGCGCTTCGGACAAAAAACTTGAGAGGTACCAAAAACTACTCACAGAAAGAATGGTAGGGAACACAACAACCTTGACCTACATTGAGGGCCTTGCATCCACTCTGCGAGGATATTTTTCATTTCGCTACCCGTCCTGTGAACCATAAAACCGAGAAATTTTGCTCCAGTAAATATCTATCGAACCATAAAACCGAGAAATTTTGCTCCAGTAAATATCTATCGAGAACTTCTATTGACTCCGTATTATCCGAGAAGAAAGTTGTACTATTAATAATAGTACAGCTTTCTTTCCAGTAACTATAATACAGTAATTACAATGTCCTGAGTACCTCCATGGTGTATGGGCACTAGGAAAGAATCGCACAGGTTAACCATCCGTGTCAAAACTTCAGTTCCAGTCCTTCGCGATGACTGTCTTTGCAGCTTCAAATGTATCACCATCGCAAAATTGATGATGATATTGGCTCCCTTTTGGTTCTGAACCAAAAGTTTGTCTCTCATGTCACCTGTTAATCGTCGGAAAGGAAAAGTACATACATATTGTACATTGACTACGACAGTGGCTGCCGCATATTCTCTTTTCAGAAGTCATTCAGTCCATCATCCTCCGAAGCTTCGTAAGAAGCAAATGCCTTGTCGGATGTGACGTCTTGTTTCGAAAGACCAGCAGCGTCGTCCTCATACTCATCCTGCAAAAAAGTTTTTATCGTCGTTACCAATAAAGCATCGAAACAAACTGGACAAAAGTGAAAGGAGGTTCCACAGTCTAAACCCTAAATAATCTAAAAAGTGGCCAAGGCTTCTTCTTAAGGTTGCAAAAAACCAGGGAAGAGGGTGAGACATGTAGACAAGACATGCAGACATCTATTACTCCTCGGCAGACTGGCAGAAAAAGTGCGTCTGCCGGGAGTCGAACCCGGGTCTATTGCTTGGAAGGCAATTATCCTAACCGTTGGACTACAAACGCTTCACGTCTACCACAGCAGATTTGCGTGAATCGTTTAGGTTTTCCAGGAGCCAGTTACCACCAATGTATTCCTTCAATTTCTAAAGGATTCCCATTCTTTGTTACTGTCTATTTAAGAATAAAACCAAAAAAATTGTTTGATGTGTAAAGTTTTTGTGACGAACAAGGCAACTTAGCAGGCGACGAAGAGTCCTCTCCCTCCGTTTTGTGGGTCGGGTTTGTGAAGGGGACTTCTGCTTCCTGATCTGACTACTGCGTGCCTTGGTACTCTGTATGTGCTTAACTCCAGCGTTGGCTCGGTTGTCATGGCCGAGGGAACATTCTACCTTGGCAATCTAAAAAATCCAGGTGCTAGAGATATGGAGGGTCGTTTCGTCGACCCTCCAAAGGATTTCTGTTCAGAATACAGGATACGTACCTCTAAGACTTGGAAATTCGCTGGCTTTCTGGCAAGCCTTCTTCGCTTTGAAACCTTAGGGACATCTCGTTGGGAAAACCCACCACTGCTCACAGGATCGGAAGCTCTCTGCCCGGCAGTCGGTGATGCTTCAGTCGTAAAGTTAGGGAGTGGGACATTTCCAGATTCTTCGGCATTTTTATGACTGTCTACATGCCTTCCACTGGTCGAAGCAAGGTCCAACTTGCTGCTTGGAGTTTCCTGTCTCCTTGCAGGACTTGCCTGACTAGCTATCGAAGCTCCAGAAGTTGGAGAGGCTTCGTAAAGTGGGGCCTTCGACGTTAATTCGGAAGTGTGGTCGACTGACAGACGTAGGCCATCTACTGAACTTTCAGAGGCCACCTGATCCCCATCCCCATGGTTCTCAGAAAGCGGTTTCTTTCTCGTGCTTGCACTCCAGGATGCATGAAGTCCTGGAGCAAGTACCTCTGCCCTTGAAGGCGGTCGTTCATCTTCGAAAACAGCGCTTGCTTTCTGTTTATGATAGTCCGGTAGACCAGTCGGTACGTCTTCGTTTGGACGGGACCCCTCGGCATCCCCTGAAAAGCCTTTGTCCGGAGCATTTTCTTCAAAAGGTCCCTCCGTTGGGTCGTCCATCTCAATGACAGCTGAATTAGATGTCGATGCCTCGGCATTCCTCTTCAATCTTAGAAGCCCCGTTTTGGCTTCAGCCAGACTGAGGGATAGATCATCATCACTGACGGAAGATGTAGCTATTTCCTTGCCCTTTGGGCTAAAACTTTTCTTTCTTGCGCCTCTGCCGAAAGTGGCCCTCATATCTAACCGGGAAGGCTCGATGTAAGGCAGCTCTTTGTCCTGGGTACGCGAAGTGGTAGCTTCGCCAGAGAATGCTGCTGGGTTGAGTAAGGAGGCAAGAGGTGCATCATCATCGTCCTCATCCTCCAGGTCATCTGGTGGATCCAAGGAACTGGTAGTTTGAGAGTGAGGAGATCCGCTCCTTGCTCCCTTTTGCTCAGCAATCTCTCGGTCACTATCTCCACTTTCATCAGCATCTCTCACGTTGGAAAGAAAAGCTTCGAGTTTACTTTTGGGCTTCTGCCTCATCAAACCCAAAGACCGCAACCTTCTGGATACCTGGGCTGGTGTAAACTGTCCTCCGAAGCTTTCCGCTATGGTCCTTGAACACTGTCTACTGGTGCAATGTCTGCACCCTCCCACACAATATGTTAAATCCCAGATGATAGCGAAGAAAGGGTAGAGAGTTCAGCATCAGATGAGAAGATAGACGAGGACATCGACAATAGTGATAATTGCAGTTATAGTAGACAAAGGAGTAGAACAGAGGACTGCTTGACCTAAGGGGAAGAAGTAAAAGTATATCTCATAGAAAAAGGTTGATCACTGAATACTCGGGGACAAAAGACTCACTATCTAGTTGAAGAAGATGTTGCGAGAGAAGCAAAAAGTCTGATAAGCTGCATCTTGTTCCCATGATGTACAACTCTATGGCGGTACAGTCCAATCATTTATTGTTTAGCGTTTCTCTCACAGTACTTCCAGCTCATCGGGAAGGAGCAAATTGACAACGCACCTTTCAAAGAGCACTTTTAGCTCTTCGTCTTGGAGCTCGGTGAAGAGACTGCTCTTATTTCTCTTCCTGCTTCCGACGCCATTTGAACTCTTTCTCTTCGGCTTTCCGCTTTCGATTCTCCCTCGCTTTTGATACTGGTTTGTCTCTTGAGCATCCGATGGTCTTCTTCTTTTCCCTTTATGTTCCAAAAGACCCAGGTCTCGGAGCTTCCGTTTGACCTGTTCTACTGTAATTCCAGATGAGGAATCAACTTCATGGGCGATGAGCGAGGCGTAGTCGTGCTTGTCCTTGAACCTTGATACAGAATATAGACAAACAGTCCAGCTTTGAATCAAAATGCCTTTCCTGATGGGACAATGTCGGGAACTGTCACCTGATGAAATGAAGGGGTATTTACCTTTTGAAAGGCTTCACAAATCTAAAACGTAAAAACCACCTAATGGGAAGTTTATTGAACGCTATAAGGCTGTCGGAAACATTACGAGCTAGTTGCCGATAACACACAACCTTACTCAAATTTTAAACGTGAGATCATAGGACCCCCGCTTATTACTACAACATATTTGGTGTGTTTGAGATTATCAGCACTCTTAGATGCCAGAGAATTCCCTATTTAGTGCTTCGGCCAGGAAGATTTGCGTCCTTTCAGAGAAACTCACTTAAAGAAAAGCTCCTTGATTTGTGCCTCCTGGGACTCAGATAAAGGACTGCATTCATTTACGGTACGTGAGTCGCAATGATCATCATCCTCAGAAGCATCCTGATCGTCTCCTTCTGCTCCAGACCTGTAACATCAATCACTTGCTCAGAACATGCTTCAAGTTCCAGACCTCAGTTGATCAAGTCATTAGACGACACCAACCAAAAGCCCATATCAGGCATGCTAACAAGAATGGACACGAAATAATTCCTCTTCAGACACAGGAGGGAATATTTTGCAACTCTAGTCTCTTGAAGGGCAATTCAGATACTAACCGGCCATGCCCTTCCTCTGCTCTCATTTGTAGCGCAGAATCCTCATCATCACCCAAAGCGTCGGCGATGTTAATCCGTTGTGGCCCCTTCGAGGAACCACCGACTGCCTTCTTTAGTTTGTGAATCATGTAGTCTGCAGAAATATTGTGGCACTCGTGTTTGAGCTTCCAGAAGAGAAGCTCAATATACAGCATTGGCTGATTCTTCAGTTTTTTGAAAAACCCCCGCACCACTTTCGTCAGAAATCCAACTACAAACTTGTGGTCTTTCGTCACTTGCAGCTGCTTGTCCGAGAGAATCGTGTAGAAAGTATGAAAGATTGAAAGCTGCGAGAAGTATAATTAAGAAGATCAGTCTCAGGTGAAAGAACTACGTAAGCTAATCTTCAAGAGTGGAAGTGGAAGTTGAACGCTTCGAGACAAGTCACCTGATAGAGCATAGGTTCTAGCACGCGGTCCTCACAGATTCGCTGCAACATGCGCACCACATAGTAATTGGTAGTGACACGGTTGCTTGTGTAGTATTTTAGCAACCAGCAATAGTTTCGAACTATTGTATTGTCAGCGAACCTCCGAAACACCAACTGATTGACATCGAGGCTGACTTCTTTCGTCATCGACTCTAGTTCTGCATCATCGTCGTCATCATTATCCTCGTCTGGAATTATTTCGGCTGGATTTCGGCCAACCTCTTCGGCGTTATCACCCCAGGCTTCAGTGTTTCCTGTGGTCGAGTTATCTGTAGGACCAGCTGCAGTGGCTTCTTGGGCACGGTCGGAAACTCCGACACCATCAAGAGAAAAAGTTTCAGTGTCAGGAATTCCTGACAGTTCCTCTGCAAAACTAGAGGTATTCTCATCAGTCTTAGCTATCTCATGACTGTCTCTCTCTTCCACATCAGGCGCTTCCGTGACCAGAGGGGGACCTGGCGGAACTTTTTCAGCCTTCCTTATGGCCGACTTGGCCTTCTTGCTGACTCTTCGCGCCTTCTGCAAAACCTGTTCCGATTCATCCCTCTTGGTTAGAACTTGCAACACCAAATGCTCCTTGTCAAGTATGAAGAAATGCTAGAATATTGTAAACTACATGCACACGACTGAAGTAACCGGTTATAAACAGGTGACTGTAAGAGAACAAAACATTTGTAAGGGTTACCCGAAGAGTTCCTTCTTTCGTTGCATCCTCCAGGATACGAAGGACAATGTGCGTTATCTCCACAAGATCCGACAAGAAGCTGCATGGAACTTTTTCGTTAGTACCACCCTCATGATGTCACTTCCACAAAGAGGAATAGAACCTCAAAAGTCTATTCATAAGTGTGGTGGGTATTTTGCCAAAGGAAAACCCATGACGAATGGTCAGCACGCTCACCTCCGGGGTTGCTTGTGGATGTCAAAGCCTTTAAGCAGAGAAAGTACCGTCTGAAGAATACCAGTTTCTGTCTGATCATAGAAAACCTTGTAGACCAAAATACGGGCAGTACGAAGCTCTTGTAGACCCTCTGCTGTCATTGGGCCGGAACGTTTCAGGACAATATCAAGCATATGTATCTACACAAGCAAAATACTAAGTCAGTATTAATTATGCCAAGTAGATTATAATCAATTACCTGAACTTATATCAATGAAAACAGTGTGGCAGCAAACGCCTGTAAGAACACCAACTCAGAGCCAAGACCTGGTGGAGAAGGTTGGCCACATTTTTACGAAAACGAGTACTTCTGTTTTTAATGAACATTAGACACCAGGTCAACACATTTCCGGGTAAAGGAAGTTGATACCGAACACCGTCCTTGAAAGAGGATTAAGGCTCCAACGTCACATGTTTCGAGTCGCGTGGATACCCAAACCACCTCTTGAATCTTGACATATGCAGACATCCATCACGGTGCATCATGTAAGCCAAAAGCCTCATAAGAAAGATGTAACTCACCATGTCCTTCATCACTGCAACCCCGGCAGCGACCGGGCCCCAATCTTTGGTCGTCTGAGCTTCGTCGATATACAGGCACCACTTTGACCTCACCAAAGAAAACATTTCTTCGTCCATAGTTGAGGCAATGGAGCCGCACATATGTTTCTGAGAAGGAATCTCATCTTCAACCGATGAAGATGATTGTCTACTCTTGGCCTGTACATAATAACAGAACATGTGCATCCGGTCAATGAAGGGACAAACCCAAAACATTAGAAGCAAATTAGGAAGAAGAAAGTGGTACAAGACGGCTTGCCCTCCAAAGGATACCATTACGCTCTTATCCTCACATGAACGTCCAACGACTAAGTACTATAACCACAGAAGATCGAGTAGGACAGTCTTCAGTTGTATTCATGGAACTGGATCTCCGGACGACTAATGGAGCTGGCAGCAAGGTGTAAGAGGATCTGTAGCTTGAGGAAGATATTTAAAGGATGTGAAGGCATGAAGTAAACCTGATCCTTCTGCGCAACACGGCAGAGATATCCAGTGAAAAACTGAACAACTTGAAAAAAAGGCACAGGATCGATAGCTTCATTCTCCGGCCTCTCCCTCCGTATATCGTCTTTGATAGTCTGCATGAGAACTGTGCATAGAATTAATCAGCATGTTATTCGACAGAGCATAAAATCAATTTGATCGAAGATCTACAACCCAACCAGATACAGGAGCTTCTGTATGGAGGAAATTGTTAGATCTGGCACTAATCTAGAGACATATCTTCAGGTAGCGGAAGTAAACATTATTCAGCGTCAAGCTTACCATTATACCCACTGGCAAGAAAATCGGTTACAAAATCTTTTAACAAAACTTGCAGGTGGTCATTTGTTGGCCGCAGTAGGTGATTTTCAGGAACAACCCGCTTCACCGGACCTCGCTTAATTTGTGGCTTACGCTGGAGGTTCTCTAGAGGTGACTGATGCGGAGTTCTTGTCAAGATAGTCTTCGTTCCATCCTATACAGCCAAGTCCATATTATAAGCCGGAGGATAAAACTATAATAGCTGAAGATGATGAAGACGGAGCTTAGTCGGAAGTTGAAATATTGATGGCTGTCAAAAGCAGGGATCGGCTTACCTGGGCAACACGAACAAACATTCCACTGAAGGGTGAATGAAGGGCTGGATCGTGTTTTGCACTCTTCAGCTGCGCCTTTTCTTCGTACATCAGGGCTCGCAGAGTCTCAGATGATTTTTCGGCTTGATTTTTAACCTGTCCATTGCATCATTCAGCTAGAATTAGACAGATGGAAGTCAAAATTCCGGCTTTTAGTCACAACGATCTGAAAGAGAGGATAGTTTGCAGTGCACATTACTAAACTGAATACGAAGGGGTTCATGTTGGCAAACCTTAAACTGCTCATCTGCAGCGGCGGCAACGACATCCGGTCGTTGACCCATCAAAACGTGGTGGATTAGCTCCAGAATTAGATGATTATCATGTCGGAGTCCGCCATGACGGCCAGCGGTGTGCTGGGTGAGTGCAACCACCAGCTCCATGACGCTCTCTTTAAATAAAATTTCAAGTAACCTCTCCTTCAGATAGGCAAACTGGGTTGAGGCGGAGATATGGTGAGTGAAGGAGTCTGGGATAGCGAGAAGGTTTCGCAGGAGAGTGAGGAAGAGTTGAAACATTCTCCAATCATCATCCTTGGGAGTCCCTCTGGAATGGTCATCAATTCATCAATCAGCGTATGTCATAAATCTCACAGTATATTTGAATGTAAACGCACCACTGTGCATCAACAGGTAAGGGCATGCACGGCCATTTGTTAGAGACATGCAAGCAACACATCATACAAGTCAACCTGAAAATTCAGAAAGCCAGACCCAAGTCGGCACCTTTCAAGGCGTTGTAGAGGATCTTCCAACAAAGACATGATAACTGGAATGGTATCATCGTCCAAGAGAGCCGCTCGGAAGTGTTGCAAATATTCGACTTGAAGGGAAACTTGGTTTGATGAGGGATCAATCGGCATTGTCAGGAAAACTAAGACCTTCACTGCAATTGACATAAACTGATGTCAGCATGAGTTTGGTGCCTGAAGTTTGAATAGATACTAGGGAAACAAGTGTGTTAAGGGGAAGGGCACCATTTGTCGTACGTGTTCATCCCAGAGCATTTTTTCCAGTGGGAATAACACTTTTGAAAGTGAAATGTGCACAATCTAACCATGAATTTTCAAATCAATCCAACATTAGCTAGGACTATGTTGAATGATATGACAACAGAGGACTTACCGCAGTTCAGAACTAGTTCGTGGTCCTCGCTGTAGCGAACAATAAGAGGCACTATATCTCGGCGTATAATGTTCCATTTCCCAAGCTGCATGAAAATATCTCTGCTCTCCGGGTGGTCTCGCCTCATGTATCGCTGGATATCCTTTAAACTCTCTGTACCAAAGTTATTCAGGATGCTTAGTACATGGTTGTTATTATCGTGTTTACCGTCTTCTAAACTAATAAATGCAACAGTAAGTCTCCAGACGTACCTAAGCAATCAGAGTGCTTTACATAAATATCATGACCATTTCCATTCTCCTGGAAGATGCCGAGAGTAGAACAAACAGTCGCAAGGCCTTCCTCGTCCATTTCTTCTGCCGTTCTCCGGAGGTTGTCGACAGTGTGATGTTGTCAAAAATTTCTTAATGACTCATATGGATACTGCGCCCTCAGGGATTACTTCCCTTCCGGATCTGTTCGGCTGGATTGATTACGTGGCATTTTCCCCTGGTGAAGAAAGTGATGTCAGGGCGACCGTTCCAAAACTTCATACTGAAAATTGTGAAACAAACAGGGAGGTTCTGACAACGCCACAATTTCCAGTTTGCAATGTACATTTACGTTTCCACGCCGTCAAGGGACGACGTCTTGATACCAATAGCGTAAGACACATCAAATAGCCTGGACCGCCTGGTTTGGTACATCGTCACTACGGGATTGCCAAACCAGGGAGTAGATGGCATCCTGTAAATATGAAGCATAACGTGTATACGATAGCACATGAGAGAACAATCTCGTAAGCACAGGGAAGACTAAGTACTTCACAATCAAATGTCATCTAAATCAGGCTGCTTATGAGCAGCATGTGGAAAACTTCGTGAATCTTTGAAGTGCAAACGGCACCATTACAGTCCATGAAACACCAGACCACTCATGAGCGTCCACGAAATCTAGAACATAAACAAGACAGGTGGGGACGTCCAAATGCGGAAGAGGTCTATACGGATAAACCCGGTTATCGGAGATTGTTCGCAGCAAAGAACTGGAAATAAGTAAAGATAGCAAGCCGGTCTTCTTGTATTTAAGATGAGGTTCTGTACTGGCGAATCGGAGACTCTTTCGGTCCAGAAAACAAATCCCCCTCTGCCCCAAACATCATATGTCGTACTGAGGAGATGGCATCTAACGCACCTTCCTCCAAACTTGTAGTTCCGGAGAATTGCTCAACTGACAATCACTAAACGCTTCCAATTGCTTGACTACCGCAGGCATTACACATAGCAAAATTGTGAATAGCCGGAAAAGACTCCAAACGTGTGATTCGATTCCACTGATGGGTAGCCCGATTGGGCGCCGGAACGAGGAAATGGGACTGATCACCCAAAGAATTCCAGCTTCCGTTCCCTGGCGCGCCAAAAGCTACAGCACCGAACCAAATTCGAGCCTTTCCTTGGTAACCAGGAAGGCGGGAAACACTTTTGCGCCAAAGTGAGGTGGCGCTAAAGCCCATGACATGGCGAATGTTGCATTTTAAGATCCACATGGATAACCAACTATCCTGACGTGGATATTGAGCATTTGAGCTACACAGCCCAGGAATGATTTGGAATTCTCTCTTCGAGTTCCAAGCAAATTACGGTCCAACCGCTTGCAGTTTGAAATTTTATTGGATTGGAAAGGGTACAACTGAAATTTCCTTTGTCTTTCAAGTTTTCTCCACCCCATCGCAAAATTCAATTCTCTCCTTAAACCTGTAACCAACCCTTCTTTTTTTAATTTCTTATCTCAACTATTTTTCATGGCTCCCAAATGAGAATAAAAACGAAACAATTTTTTCTAACAAGCATATACACAAAGTGTTGCTCCATACGCTGCTTATCGAATATAATAGCAACTATAATTAAAACACGTACGAGTCTGATATTTACCTAAAAACAGGGATACGTGTATTTTATAACTCTGTGCTACAGTTTTAATCAAGTAACAATGATTTTAATCTAGAAATTCTGTCATATTTACAAAACTTAATGATTCGGTAAGTTATTCAAAATTTCACATACATTTCATAGATCCTAATCCACATCTTTGAAACCATATTCAAAAATTATTGAACTGACTCTTTATACTATTATATTAGTATTCCATACAACAGTAAAAATAAAATTTATTATAAGAGAAAAATTTGAATGTAGAATTTCAATTTATTCAATTCAATATCTTTGTTCATCATATATTATAAAATCAAAGTTATCTATAAATGCTGTAAAATGTGGTTAATTGACATAAATTGATGCATACAGAATTTTATTAGCCAAAATTCAAGTAGGTTACAAAAAACATAAAATGCATCGAATCTAAAAACAAAAACGTATATGATATCAAAAAAATTGAAATTTGATTTTTTGGCATAAATTAGCCATCAAAACTTGAGGACTTGCACAATTATATTTTTAATCCTAATTCAAAAATGAAATTTTATACTTGCATGAGTCTTGAACCATTTTGACCTATAGTGCGATTTTCAGGCAGAATAATTTAAAGATTCAAAATATTATAAGAATATAATAACATAAAAATTTAAAAATGGCTACATGTATAATTATTTTTATTTTTATCTCACATTTTGGTAAGAAAACCAAAATTTCAGTATTATATTTATATGGTTTTACAAACTTTATTTTTGAATTCAATGCACCAGACATTTTTTTTTATGAGATTGCTTTGTTTTTAGTTTAAAGTATTAAAAAAACAAGAATATAGTTGTTGGAAGTCAAAGAATAAAGATTTTTGGAATTTGAATACCTTATTTTTAACAAAGAAATATACTTGACCAATGCTATCAACATATTTATCGTTGTTCCATGAGATGTGTGGTTGGATTTTCCCCCAAGCATGAAGTTGGGGAGTAGCCAAGTCTACGTAATGCTTCGCCCTGCCTTCCGGAAAGCCTTCGGTGTCACTGACTCATGTATTCGTTATGGGTCTAAGACTCGATTGTGCTAAGAGTATAGCTACCTTGATATACAAATATTCATCCAGTCTAGTGTAAGGAAAAAGATCTGGGGATTCTATAAATGGAAATAAACTTGAACTTTATGTAAAAAATATACAACGAATGAGGTTACTACAAAAGTTTTTCAAAAATTTTAAGAAAAGGTAATTTTTTGTATCATTTGATTTTTGGAGACATGAAAATCAGTTGTATGCAGACTTCATACTATTTAGAATGGTTATTCTGAGATCCCCAAACAGGGGAAAGCATTTCATGACCTATGTATTACTGTATTACCTCAAGTTGGAGCCTCGCATAGGAAAATTGAACGTCGAAACGCTCCTCTCACGCAAAAATAAAGGGCAAGTCAAAATTCACAATTGAAGGTTGACTAGAAGCAATGCTAACAAAGCCTGTAACTTCGCCGCGAGTGCCTTCGGCGGTATGCGGACGGAGAGCTGCGTCGGCGGGATCAAGATTGAATGTACAAGTGAGGAAGTCCGCGCAACGGCGGAGCGTGAATTTGCGCGTGCGAATCATACCGTTACGCCTCCGCGCCGGCATAGTATTCAAGCGGGCCGCTTCTAGCCCAAGTGTCGAACGATGAGAAATCTTGATCGCAGAAAGAAGACACTCACTCACGCATTTTCAATTTTGCACTCACTCGAGTTCGCAACGTGCAGCACTAGAATTCGTGGAGAGTTTGTGGGAAATTTGTTCGAGAGTGTGTAGCTGCAGAGTATTGCAAGAGAGTTGCGGAGAGTTGCAGCGAGTTCGCAGAGAGAGTTCGCAGAGAATTCGCAGCAGCAATAGCAGGAACTCGCAGAGATTTCCACGAATTTAATGGCCAAGTCGATTTCGCTGCGGATGGTCCCCCTACGAGTGACGCAGATCGGATTGCAAGCATTTCAAGATGAGTTGATGGCGGTAAAGCTCGACTTCCTTCTATGGAGATGGAATTGGGTGTGCCCGGCGATGGTCCGGGAGTGGCTGCGTGAGAAGAACCAGCCTCCACGACGTTATCGACCGCACCAGGAGAGATGGCAAGTGAGCGATTGGGAGTAGGTCTTGGGGCGATGCGTAGGAGAAGAATGCGATTTTTTGTTCGAATGCGAGAGGGTGCATGTCACGAAGGAAGAAAAAATTTCCTTTGACGCACTTTTCAAGAACTAAAAGTCAAGCAAGAACGGGTACAAGACCCGTGACTACAAAGACCGCAAGCGGAGGAATGTCGCGTTGGCACTCCTCCAGATTTTACAGCCGCACAGGACCACCTACATGACATCTTGGCAGGTGGGATTTGTGGAGCTGGCGTTGGCAGGAACTCCGATTCATTGGGCTCGGATGTTTTTGAAGGCCACGCGACAACACGCGCAAGAGGATAAGGGAGGGTCGATCAATCACATCTCCCCTCTCTTGATCAATTTTTATCGGTCGATGGGGTGTCTGATAGCAACGGAGCGGGTACAATTTCCCTTGCTGTCGCGAGCAAATCCGAGAAGGTATGTGAGAGATGTCGAAGTTAACACAGACTCCGACGAAGTGCCCGCCAGCACACCACCAGCTCGACCGAGAGCGGATGACAAACCGAGGGAAGTGCGGGCACCCCGGAAGCGGAAGTGGGATGGAGATGCGGACATGAGTCAGCGGGAAGTGCCCACTGCTCCAGTCAGGCGTCGGGCAAACAACCAGCCCGTCCGACCGATGTAGAAGGCACGCAAGCTAGTGTTGCCGGCAGACAACAACGCAGACACAGGGCGAGCCGCAGTTACAAGAGACTCACCATCCTCGGAGTAGGATGTGAATGCAGAAGTTCTTGGAAGGTCAACTGACCTCCTTGCACCGAAGGCACGAGTGCCTTCGGAGAAAGTGCGTAGGCCTTCGGGCCACAGAGAACGGCATGCGACAACGGCCAAAATGCCTGCGATGGAGAGGTTCTTGCCTTCCGAGCAAGTACCATTTGATGACTTGCCTTCGGCTCAAGCGCCTTCGGCGTAGGAGCGGTGCAGGGAGGAGCCTTTGGCTCAACGGACTTCGGGTCAAGCGCCTTCGGCAAAGACGCCTTCGGCGCAGACGCCCCTGGAGCAAGTTGCAGCGGACGAAGGCAAGAAGGGGGAGACACGTGTGCCTTCAGCACAAACGTCTTCGGCGGTAGCACGCCGGACAGGTGCAGGAGGCCCACCGAGAGCAAGTATTGGCGGGACATGGTGTGAAGGCCGGAGCAGAAGAAGCTACGCCACTTAGCTCGAGAGAATCGCCGAGGATTTCTGAGGCGACAGAGATCTTGGAGACCGAAGACGATACGCCTTCGGAGGAGGAGGAAGTGGAGTTAGTGCGAGGTACAACGACCGGTGTGCTTTGCGAGCAGATGGTACCACTACTCCGGTATCTTGTTCGCAAGACGACCAAGTACGCGGATTACCGCCATCGTGAATCCTATGTTGAGCTGGTCATGAATTGAACTTGGATCAAAGTAGCGACGAATTCCGAGTTGGAGACCCTGGACTAGAAGTATCGGCAGCTAGAGGAGCGATACAATTTCCTACATGAACAGTGTACCATTTCGCGGAAGTTGCAGAAGGCAGCGCTTCAGCTGCGAGATGATGTAGCGGCCAATGCGCAGCGCGAAATTGAAGAGTTGTGTGCGAGGATCGAGACGGAGATCAATTCCGAACGAGCTCAAAACCGTATTCTGGCAGAGGAGCTCGTGCGGCAGATGCGGGCGTTAGAGAAGAGTGAGACCGCGCGGAAGGCGGACGAAGAATTACTATGTCGACTGCAATCGCAGTGCGACGAATTGAGAGCGCCGCGTGCGGAGGCGGAGTTACAGTTGGAAGAGGTTGAAGGCCACAACCGGCGCGTGACAGATCGCACACGGGAGGAGTTTGTTTCGCGGGTTGACCGGTGTTTTAAAGGTTATGCTCGTTGGAAGATCGCAACGCGGGAGAGAATGACATTGCGCAAAATGGAGATACGTGCGGCAGCTTTGATGTCTGATGACAGTCAAAGTCGGCGGCACGTGGCGAAGCGGTTGGAGTCATTACTGTCGAGGTCGCGGGACGCCATTGCGAACCTCGAGGCATAGGTGACCAAGGTGTTGCGGCGGCTCGGACTGCGTAGGAGAGCAGACGAGTGGACGGTTAGGGAGTTAGTGAGTAGTCGCATAGGAGGCATAGCAGGTGAAGAGTGTACTGTTAGGTAGTTAGGATCTTAGAGTGTATAAAGTAGTTCAAGGCGTTGGCCTTAAGGGATATTTGGTTGAAGAACTCGTTTTCTCTAAGCGTTTGGGCCTTTCGTTCAGTCACAGCGCAAGAGTAGCTATAGCTTGTCGAAGTTACCGCATTTTGTAGCTGAAGCCCTTCGCCCAAATGTTATGAGCTAGCAGATTGGCTAGTCATGATTTAAGCAAGTTCGGACTTACACCTTCGGACGATTTTCCCTGTTTGTATTCCTTCGGTATTTTCCCCCCCTAATACCAAAGTGAAGTTTTGTTAACTTCTTAGTGGTATTTGGTTGAATTCAGGTTGTGTGCGTTACGTTGCTTGAGGCGCCTTCGGGGGTAGCCTCCGCAGTATTTCTGGGAATGACTAGTGCC